GATGACCTCCAGGGCCCCTTCCAACTCTCCTTCTAGGATTCTGTCAGGCTCTCCTGCCTGAGCCGGGGGTTGGACTGGATGACCTCCGAGGTCCCTTCCAGCTCTGTCGCTCCGTGTGAGCCAAAGAGCGGAGGAAAGCGAAAGTCTCTCGGCGGCGGCGCTGCCTGGAAATCACGTGATGGAAAAGAAGACAGACTCACCACGAACCCCCCCTCGCTCTCCCGCCCCCCCCCAGGCCCAGGAAATAGGCGGGGTGCACAAAAAGGGCGTCCCCCCTCCTCCCCTCCCCCCCACCCCCCCCCCGGGCAAAAGCCAGGCTCGCTTCCTCTGCATTAGCAGGCCGCTTTGCAGGGCGCCCCTCCCCCTCCCCGCCCCCTCCCAGCAGCCTTTCCCTCGGAAGGGAGCGGGAAGGGGCCCTCGGAGGTCATCCAGCCCAGCCCTTCTCCATCTTGTCACCCACGGCACCCCTTTTGGGATAGGGCAACATCCGAGGACCCCCCGTCGCCGAGCAAGGGGTCAAACACTGGATAATAATAATAATAGTAGTAAAGTTGGAAGGGACCTTGGAGGTCATCTAGTCCAACCCCCTGCTCGGGCAGGAAACCCTACACCATTTCGGACAAGTGGCTGTCCAGCGGGTGACTCCAAAAAAGAAAAGGAAAAAAGCGGTCAAGTCCAGGTAGTCCTCGACTTGCAACCGTTCGCTTAGTGACCGTTGGAAGTGACAACGGCAGTGAACAAAGTGCCCCCCCCAAGCCCCAGCCGAGCAAGACGCCTGCCTGCCCGCCCGCCCGGCTGCGCTCTTCCTCCTGTCCGAGGTTGTCGTGGTTGGGAGCGTTTCTGTTGAGGATTGGCAGCGGGGGTCGGGGGGGGGTGGACCTTTGGTTTTTATTCCCCCCGTCTGCTGGGTGGTTGCAGCAGGATTTGGTCCCTTCCCATGACCCTGGGACATGGGGACCGTCATAAATATGAATCGGTTGCCAGCATCGGAAGGTAAATCACAAGACCGTGGAGAGGCTGCAACATTCCGGCCGCTCGGCGCTTCTTCCGGGCTCAGCGGAAGGGCCAGGATCGGTGCCGCTTTCCAGTTGATGGGCGCTTCTTCCAGGCTCCTCCGGGTTATTTATTTCTCTCTGTCTGTCTGTGTCTGTCTGTCCGTCTATCTATCTATCTATCTATCCATCCATCCATCCATCCATCCATCCATCCATCCATCTATCTATCTATCTATCTATCTATCTATCTATCTATCTATCTATCTATCATCAATATCTATCACTAACTACCACCTAATTTATCTCTCTGTCTGTCTGTCTGTCTTTCTGTATCTATCTCTATCTATCTATCTATCTATCTATCTATCTATCTATCTATCTATCTATCTCTATCTATCTATCTATCTATCTATCATCTATCTATCTCTATGTATCATGTGTAAATTCTATGATTTATCTATCATCCATCCATCCGTCCATCTATCGGAGGAGATCACCAGGCTGAGCCCAAGGGAGGCGTCAAAGGCGTCATCGGTCGAGACTCCTGGCCCCCACCCCCACCAGAGATCTACACCCGGCCCACCTTGAATGCCTGTCTGATCACCCACTCATTTCCAATTGGATCCCTTAGTAGGTCAGGTTCTTGTAGCAAAAAAAAAAAACCTGGATAAATATCCAGATAGACAGAGAAGATAGATAAATGAGAGATAGATTGATGGATGGATAGATAGATAAATAGATAGATAGATAGATAGATAGATAGATAGATAGATAGATAGATACATAGATAGATACATAGATAGATAGATAGACAGATAGATAGATGTAAATTAGGTGATAGTTACATATGGATACAAATGATAGAGAGAGAGAGAAAGATACAGAGATGGATAGATGGATGGATGGATGATAGATAGGTAGATAGATAGATAGATAGATAGATAGATAGATAGATAGATAGATGACAAATGGATAGATAGAAATGATAGATATCGATGGATAGACAGAAAGACAGACAGACGACAAATGGATAGATAGTAAGACAAATGATAGATGAGGTAGAGATGCTAGATAGATAAATGATAGCAGATAGATAGATAGACAGATGACAAATGGATATATACAGATAAATGATAGATGAGATAGATAGAGATGATAGATAAATGATAACTGACAGATAGATAGATAGATAGATAGATACATAGATACATAGATAGATAATAGACATAGATAATAGACAGAATAGATATTAGATAGATAGATAGATAGATAGATAGATAGATAGATAGATAAGATAGATAGATGGATAGATATAGATGGATGGATGGATGGATGGATCTATCTATCTATCTATTTTCTATATCCCTCTATCACCTAATTTATATCTTATCTATCTACCTACCTACCTACCTACCTATCCATCCATCCATCCATCCATCCATCCATCCATCCATCTATCTATCTATCTATCTATCTATCTATCTATCTCTTCTATATCTGTCTCTAACTATCATCTCTATCTTATATAACTATATCAGCTAATTTATATCTATCTATCTATCTATCTATCTATCTATCTATCTATCTATCTCTAACTACCACCTAATTTATCTCTGTCTGTCTATCTGTGTCTGTCCATCCATCTATCTATCTATCTATCTATCTATCTATCTATCTATCTATCTATCTATCTATCTATCTATCTATCTATCTATCTCTATGTATTGTGTGTAAATTCTACGATTTATCTATCATTCATCCATCCGTCCATCGATTGGAGGAGATCACCAGGCTGAGCCCGAGGGAGGCGTCAAAGGCGTCATTGGTCGTGAATCCCGGCGCGCGCACCTGCCAGAGATTTAAACCCGGGCCACCTTGAATGCCTTTCTGATCTCCTGCTCATTTCCAATAGGATCCGTTAGTAGGTCAGGTTCTTGTAGCGAAAAAAACTGGATAAATAGCCAGATAGACAGAGAAGATAGATAAATGATAGATGACAGATAGATAGATAGATAGATAGATAGATAGATAGATAGATAGATAGATAGATAGATGGATGGATGGATGGATGGATGGATGGATGGATGGATGGATGGATGGATAGATAGATAGATAGATAGATAGATATAAATGATGGATAGATACAGATGGATAGATGGATGGATGGATAAGATATAGATAGATAGATAGATAGATAGATAGATAGATAGATAGATAGATAGATAGATGACAAATCGATAGATAGAAATGATAGATATAGATGGATAGACAGAAAGACAGACAGACAACAAATGTAGATAGTCAGACAAATGATAGATGAGGTAGAGATGATAGATAAATGATAGCAGAGAGATAGATAGATAGATAGATAGATGACAAATGGATAGATAAAAATGATAGAGATGGATAGATAGATAGATAGATAGATAGATAGAAAGATACATAGATAGAAAGATAGACAGACAGACAGACAGACAGACAGACAGACAAATAGATGACAAATGGATAGATAGTCGGACAAATGATAGAATAGATAGATAGAATAGATAGATAGATAGATAGATAGATAGATAGATAGATAGATAGACAGATGACAAATGGATAGATAGAAATGATAGATTGATGTAAGATAGATAGACAGACAGACAGATAGATGACAAATGGATACTCAGACAAATGATAGTTGAGAGATGATAGAGATAAATGATAGAAGATAGATAGACAGACAGACAGACAGATAGATAGATGGATGAAAGATGGATGGATAAATGGATGGACGGGCGGACAGAGACAGAAATACAGATGTAGGATAGATAGGTAGGTAGGTAAGTAGACAGATAGGTAGGTAGGTAAGTAGACAGATAGATAGATAGATAGATAGATAGATAGATAGATAGATAGATAGATAGATAGATAAACAGATGACAAATGGATAGTCAGAGAAATGATAGCTAGCTAGCTAGCTAGATAGATGAGAGAGAGAGACAGACAGACAGACAGACAGACAGACAGACAGACAGACAGACAGACAGACCAACAAAGTGGGAAGGGACCTTGGAGGTCTTCTAGTCCAACCCCCTCTTCAGGCAGGAAACCCTACACCATTTCAGATAAGTGGCCATCCAGTCTCTTCTCATAAAACCTCCAGTGATGGAGCCCCCGCAACGTCTAGTGGCAGGCAGTTCCACCGGTTTAACTGTCCTCCCTGTCGGGAAGTTTCTCCATAGTTCCGGGCTGCTTCTCTCCTTGAGGACTTCCCCTCCGCTGCTTCTTCTCCTGCCTTCGGGGGCTTTGGGGAGGAGGTGGTCCCCCCCCTTCTCTGTGGAAGCCCCTCAGATGTGAGTTTTGTTGCGGACATTTCGTGACCCAACTAGGGAACGTCATCAGTGCTACCATAGAAGGGAATGGAGTTGATGGAATTTATGGAGAGGAGGAGGAAGAGGGAGGGCTTAGGGTGTTGTTCTCTGAACTTGGTTATTTTCTTGGAGACATTTCGTGACCCAACTAGGGAACATCATCAGTGCTAGAGGGGAGTGAGGCTTCCGGAGTGGAGGAGGAGGAGGAGGAGGAGAAGGAGGAGAGGAGGAGGAGAATAGAGGAGGAGGAGAGGAGGAGGAGGAGGAGGAGGAGGAAGGACTGGGGGGGTCCTTGGTGTTGTCTGAACTTGGTTATTTTCTTGGAGACGTTTCGTGACCCAACTAGGGAACATCATCAGTCATATAGAAAGGAATGGAGTTTATGGAGAAGGAGGAGGAGGAGGAGGGGGGGAAGACTGGGGGTGGACCTCAGTGTTGTCTGAACATTTCTTGTAGACATTTCATGACCCAACTAGGGAACATTAACAGTGCTAGAAGGGAGTGAGGTTTGTGGAGGAGAGGAGGAGAAGGAGGAGGACCCCCCCCCAATCAATCACTTGTTCAAATTACCCGTGTGTTATGTCTTCACCAAGTCCCAGTCTCGGGGCCCACTTCAAGACGTCCTCCCAAGAAAGCAGAACCCATGGAAGCCGTTTCATCCAAAAGGAACTTTTATTAGGAGACGTTGCTAGCAAGCCCAAAAGCCAGGATCCGAGGGTTTCCCCTCTCGGATCGATAGGTAGAAAGTGTCCCAAGCAAAAAACCCACCCCAATCGTTCATCCGCTCAGTTCACACGGCCCAATCCCCGGGTGTTCCGTTCCTCGTGGGGAAAGGGGAGAGAACACCAGGCCGTCTCCGGTTGTGGCTGCGATGTGTTGGCGCTCTCGTCGCCCCTTCTCCTTCTCCTGGAAGCCCGGAGATAAATGGGTTGCCGGAGGTTGCCTTCCTTTCTTCCCCTCCCTTTGCTCGCTGACATGAAGTTCACAGAAGGAGAACGCAGGAAGGCAAAGGGTTACACAGCGTCCTCGTGATAGAGGAAATCAAGGCAATAACCCTCAAACCCTTCCCCCCCTCCACACCCCCCCCCCCGGGCATAGGGCAGGACCCAGGAAGAGAAGAGAGTGAGATTCGGGTCAGGAGGAAAGGCAGAGGGAAAGAAATGGAGGAGGGGGGGAAGGATAAGGGACCCTAGAGATATATGCCTTCTGACACCTGGTCAATCAGTTGATTGATGGCTGCTAAATACCCCACTCAAAGGGGCTCCGTCGATAGATAAATAGATAGATAGATAGATAGATAGATAGATAGATAGATAGATAGGAAGGAAGGAAGGAAGGAAGGAAGGAAGGAAGGAAGGAAGGAAGGAAGGGGGAGACACCGGAAGGAAGGAGGGAGGGAGGCAGTAGTAGAGCAGAGACCCTTACCAGAGTTGCCTTCATGGAGATTTTTTCCGGCGTCCCCTAAAGGAGTGGACACCACCGGGGACGGTTCCATCTCCTCCTGAGGTCCTCCTTGTCGGCTGCCAGCATCTCCTCCGTGTAACAAGGAGCATCCCGGTTCTCCTTCACCAGCTCGTCAATCATCTCCATCAGCTGGGCCACCTGCGCCTCTCGCTCCGCCCCTTCGGCCTTGTTGTTGAAAGCCAGGTAGCGTTTCCCGCACAGGTTCACCTGCTCCTTCAGGGCGCAGTTCCCCTCGGAGATGAACTGGTCGAGGCCCTCCCCTTCCAGGTCATCATTCCGGGTGAACAGGAGGATCATGTAGTTCTTGGCGTTGAGGCTGAAGATCTCCTTGATCAGCTGAGCCACCTCCTCCTCCTCCTTAGTGAAACGGCCCGGGCGGATCACCTGCAGGATGACGTGAGGGCCCGGGATGCAAAACTTCACGCACTTCTTCACTTCGGCCGCCGTTTCTGACTTGCGACACCCAGTGTCGAGGACGCCGGGCGTGTCGACCACCACCAACTTCCGACCGTTCACCTGCGTCTCCTCCTTTTGGCAACACTTGGTGACGGAACCGGAAGTCATCTTCGATTCGAAGACGCGGCTTCCCAGGATGGTGTTTCCCGTCGCGCTCTTCCCGTTGCCGGTTTTGCCCACCAGGACGATCCTCCGTTCGGGACCTACAACCCAAAGTGGGGGGGAGGGGAGAGAAGAAGGGGACCGGTCAGCAGCGTTGGGGGGAGACGACCAGGCTGGTGCCAAGGGAGGCGTCAAACAGGTTATCAGCCGTGAGTCCCTGCACGCTCACGAGAGACCGACATTCAGCCCGTCTTAATCTCCCCGTCATTTCCCCCTGACCGTTAGTAGGTCAGATTTTTGTAGAGAGCTTAAACTGGCAATAAATCCTTATGCTCTGTCTTCTGTATCTATCTCTAACTATCACCTAATTGATCTCTGTCTGTCTGTCGGTCGGTCTGTCTGTCTATCTATATGAGTGGTTCTCAACCTGTGGGTCGGGACCCCATTTGGGGTCGAACGACCATTTCACGGGGGTCGCCAAACAACGCAATCCGCCATTTTTCTCCCTTTTCCTTAGCTGTGCTACTCCCTTTTATTCTATTGCCTTTCGAAAGCAAATCGAAGAGACTCTCTTGAATAGAGTCTCATTCTATTGGCTTTCCAAAGCCAATAGGAATTGTCCAGGCTGTGTCTGCCCTGCTGAGCCCGCCAAAAGCCCCAGTCGGCAAACGGTGCTGCGAGTTGTCTGCAGCGAAGGCGAGCTGTCTGGAAGCTTCCACCCCTCCCTGCTGAGCAACTACTAACAATGGAAGGAAAAGAGGACCAGGGGTGGGAGGTGGGAGGCCGGCGGGCGCAGGGAGGGGTTGCTGGTGCGCGTGGGGCCCGGCGCGTGCCTGACCTCCCTTGGGCTGGGCTAGCTGGTGGCCCAGCCGGTGGTCGGCCTGCGCCGTTTCTGCCGCTTGCCAGCTACGCCTCGGCCGGCACAGGCGGCACCACGCATGCGCGGCGCTCCCGGGCAGGGAAAGACCTCGAGTTACGACCGGTTGGATAGTGCTCGACTTACGACTGGTTGGGTAGTCCTCGACTTACGACCGGTTTGGGGTCGCGGCATTAAAAAGGTTGAGAATCACTGATGTATATCTATCATTTATACCTCTCTATCACATTTCATATCTATGTATCTATCTATCTATCTGTATCTTAATTTATATCTGTCTTTCTGTCTATCTACTATATCTATCTCTAACTATCATCTAATTTATCTGTCTTCTATATATCTCTCTATCACTTTATATCTATCTATCTATCTATCTATCTATCTATCTATCTATCTATCTATCTATCTATCTATCTTCTATATCTCTCTATCAGCTAATTTATATCTATATCTATCTATCTATCTATCTATCTATCTATCTGTCTATCTCTAACTACCACCTAATTTATTTCTGTCTGTCTGTCTGTCTGTCTGTCTTCTATATCTATATCACCTAATTTATATCTTATCTATCTATCTATCTATCTATCTATCTATCTATCTATCTATCTATCGTCAATATATATCTCTACCACCTAATTTGTCAGTCTTTCTGTCTCTATCTCTCTCTCTCTCTCTACATCTATCTCTAGCTATCATCTCTATCTTCTATATCTATCTCTATCAGCTAATTTATATCTATCTATCTATCTTCTATATCTCTCTATCAGCTAATTTATATCTATCTATCTATCTATCTATCTATCTATCTATCTATCTATCTATCTATCTATCTATCTATCTATCTATCTCTAACTACCACCTAATTTATCTCTGTGTCTGTCTGTCTTCTATATCTATATCACCTAATTTATATCTTATCTATCTATCTATCTATCTATATCTATCATCAGTATCTATCTCTACCACCTAATTTATCTCTGTCTGTCTGTCTGTCTGTCTCTCTCTGTCTGTCTCTCTCTATCTATCTATCTATCTACATCTATCTCTAGCTATCATCTCTACCTTCTATATCTATCTCTATCAGCTAATTTATATCTATCTATCTTCTATATCTCTCTATCAGCTAATTTATATCTATCTATCTATCTATCTATCTATCTATCTATCTATCTATCATCTATCTATCATCTATCTATCTATCTATCTATTTATCTATCTATCATCTATCTATCATCTATCTATCTATCTATCTATCTATCTATCTATCTATCTATCTATCTATCATCTATCTATCGTCAATATCTATCTCTACCACCTAATTTATCTCTGTCTGTCTGTCTGTCTTTCTCTCTCTCTATCTATCTTCTACATCTATCTCTAGCTATCATCTCTATCTTCTATATCTATCTCCATCAGCTAATTTATATCTATCTATCTATCTATCTATCTATCTATCTATCTATCTATCATCTACCTATCTCTATGTATCATGTGTAATTTCTACGATTTATCTGTCATCCATCCATCCGTCCATCTATTGGAGGAGATCACCAGGCTGAGCCCGAGGGAGGCGTCAAAGGCGCCATCGGTCGTGCATCCCTGCGTGCGCCCTCGCAAGACAGCAGGACACCCAGGACAGCAGCTCCCACCCCCCAGCTCATCCCCCCCCCACACCGCCCCCCCCAGGGATCCAGACTTTACCTTGGATGCTTCCAGCCATTTCCAGACAACGGGGCTCGGCCCAAAAGAGCCGAGAGGAATGTGATGGATCAAAAGAGAGAGAGAGAAAAAATAAATCAGCCGAAGGAGAGGCCGTCTGGCTTGGTTATTATAGCCACCAGCTCTCCACCCCCAGAGGAAGCAAAACAGGAATTGGAGGGGGAGGGGCTTAAAAGAAGCTGCACCCCCCCTTCTTTACTGCCCCCCCCCGCTTGGGGCTGATCCATCTGGTCCTCTCCCCCGCCTCCTTTTCAATCGTCCCTTCCACTCTTGTGGAGGAGGAAGCTTAGGGGTAGGGTCTCCTGCTCCAGCAGGGGGTTGGACTAGATGCCCTCCAAGGGTCCCACCCGAGTCCGCCATTTCCCCTCGATTCCCTCCAAGTCGCTGGGAATGACAGAGGCCGGATTGGTCAGAGAGAAGAACGGACAGGCTGATGCACGGAGAGGGGGAGGCAGAGACCCCCCCCTTATCTCTGGGGTGGGGGCTATGGGGGCCTCGGGGCTCCTGGGAAGAGCCCAGCCGGGCTGGGGAAGGAATTGGGGGAGTGGGCTGGTGGGGTCTGCTGAGCCTTGCAGGATGGATCCCAGATGGGAAAGATATCCCAAGGGATGGACGGTGGAGGCTGGGCAAGGATTGCAACGGCCACAAAGAACAAAAATGGGGGGGGGGGCATTTGAGGTCAGCCAAGAAAGGCCAGCCAGGAAGTCCCCCCTCCCCCAAGCCGGGATTTTCCAAAGAAAAAAGCCGATTTTTCCTGCCATGGAAAAGAGATGTTTCTTTGTCTGGGTCCATTCCAGGCCTCTGAAAGCAAAGCCAGCTGGAGGAGCGTTCCCAGGATGGCGTAATTTGGGAGGAGAGGGCAAATTCCGGCCTTTGTTCCCGCAAGGTCTGGGAATGATGGCTGGATTCGGGGCCACTGAGATACACACAAACACAGACACTGTTTCCGAGCCAGCTTCACCAACCAAGTCTTGGTCTTCCATCAGAAAAGAGCTGGAAGGGAACCTGGAGGTCATCCAGTCCAACCCGCTGCTCAAGCAGAAGACCCTTACAGAATAAAAGAGCAGGAAGGGACCAAGGAGGTCATCCAGTCCAACCCCTTCCTCAAGCAGGAGAGCCTTACAGAATCACAGGACAGAGTTGAAAGGGACCAAGGAGGTCATCTAGTCCAACCCCTTGCTCTAGCACAGTGGTTCTCAACCTGTGGTTCGGGACCCCATTTGGGGTCGAACGACCATTTCACGGGGGTCGCCAAACAACGCAGTCCGCCATTTTTTCCCCCTTTTCCTTAGCTGTGCTATTTCCTTTTATTCCATTGGCTTTTGAAAGCCAATAGAAGAGACTCTCTTGAATAGAGTCTAATTCTATTGGCTTTCCAAAGCCAATAGGAATTGTCCAGGCTGTCTCTGCCCTGCTGAGCCCGCCAAAAGCCCCATTCTGCAAACGGGGCTGCACCCGTTGAGTAGTCCTCGACTTACGACTGGTTGAGTAGTCCTCGACTTACGACCGGTTGGGGGTCGCGGCATTAAAAAGGTTGAGAACCACTGCTCTAGCAGGAGACCCTTACAGAAACACAGAGTTGGAAGGGACCTTGGAGGTCATCTACCCCAACCTGCTGCTGCAGCGGGAGACTCTGAAAGGGTCTCCCGCTTGAGCAGGGGGTTGGACTAGAAGACCTCCGAAGTCCCTTCCAGCTCGGTCATTCTACTATTCTCTCAGGGTCTCCTGCTTCAGCCAGGGGCTGGACTAGATGACCTCCGAGGCCCTTTCCAGCTCTGTCCTTCGGAGATTCTGTCACGGTCTCCTGCCTGAGCAGGGGGTTGGGCTAGATGACCTCCGAGGCCCCTTCCAGCTCGGTGACTCTACTGTTTTCTAAGGGTCTCCTGCTCGAGCCGGGGGTTGGACTGGATGACCTCCAGGGTTCCCTTCCCGCTCTGTCACTCCGTGTAAGGGGACATCGCAACAGCGGAGGAAAGCGAAAGCGGCTCGGCGGCGGCGGTGCCTGGAAATCACGTGATCGAAAAGAAGAAAGGCCCAGAGCGGCCCCCTCCCCTTCCCCCCCCCCAGCCATCCATAGGAAACGGGCTATTTTCTTCTCCGCGTTGGTTCATCGCCCAAGGGCCGCTCCGGGCTGGGTCGCCTCCCCCCCTCCTCCCCTCCCCCCCGCGCCCCCCCCCCCGGGCAAAAGCCAGGCTCGCTTCCTCTGCTCTCGGCCGGCCGCTTTGCAGGGCGCCCCGCCCCCTCCCCCGCCCCCTCCCAGCAGCCTTTCCATGGGAACGGAGCGGGAAGGCGCCTCGGAGGTCATCTAGCCCAACCCCCTGCGCGAGCAAGAGACCCTGACAGCATCCCGGAGTTGGAAGGGACCTCTGAGGTCTTCTGCTCCAGCCCCTTGCTCAAACAGGAGACCCAATGCCATTTCAGACAGGATAGGTAGGTAGGTAGGTAGGTAGGTGGGTGGGTGGGTGGGTGGGTGGATGGATGGATGGATGGATGGATGGATAAATAGCCAGATAGAGAAGATAGATAAATAATAGATGACGGATGGATGGATGAATGGATGGATGGATAGATAGATAGATAGATAGATAGATAGATAGATAGATAGATAGATAGATAGATAGAGATAGATAGATATAAATTAGTTGATAATTAGAGATAGATATAAATGATAGATAGATAGATAGATAGATAGATAGATAGATAGATAGATGGATGGATGGATGGATGGATGGATGGATGGATGGATAGATAGATAGATAGATAGAGATAGATAGATATAAATTAGTTGATAATTAGAGATAGATATAAATGATAGATAGATAGATAGATAGATAGATAGATAGATAGATAGATAGATAGATAAGATAGATGGATAGATAAGATAGATATAGATAGATGGATGGATGGATAGATAGATAGATATAAATTAGGTGATAGTTAGAGAGAGATATAAACGATAGATAGTTGGATAGATAGATAGATAGATAGATAGATAGATAGATAGATAGATAGATAGATATAAATTAGCTGATATAGATATAGGATAGATAGATAGATAGATAGATAGATAGATAGATAGATAGATAGATATAGATAGATAGATATAAATTAGGTGATAGAGAGATATAAATGATAGATAGATAGATAGATAGATAGATAGATAGATAGATAGATAATAAATTAGGTGATAGTTAGATACAGATATAAACGATAGATAGATTGATAGATAGATATAAATTGGGTGATACTTAGAGACAGATATAAATGATAGATGGATGGATGGATAGATAGATAGATAGATAGATAGATAGATAGATAGATTATGGATGGATGGATGGATAAAATGGAAGGAGGGAAGGAAAGAAGGGATGGAGGAAGGAAAGGGATGAAAAAGAAAGGGAGAGAGGGAGAGAGAAAGGAAGGAAGGGGACAGAGGAAGGAAGGAAGGAAGGAAAGGTTGGTAGATAGAAATGATAGATTAGATGGTAGATGAAAGAAAGAGGAAGGAAGGGAAGGAAGGAAAAAAAGAAAGAGGGAGGGAGAGGAGGGGGAAGGAAGGAGGGAGGGCAGGAAGGAGGGAGGAAAAAGGAAAGGAAGGAGGAAGAAACGGAGGAAAGAAAGGCGAGACAGTGGAAAGAAGGAAGAGAGGAAGGTGGGAGGGAGAGAGGAAAGAAGGAAAGGAAGGTGGAAGGAAGGCACGGAGGAAAGAAAAGACAGAGAGAGATGAAGAAGAGGAAGAGGAGGAAGGGAGGAAGGAAGGAAAAGAGAGGGAGGGTTGACCCGGAATTAGGAGACCGCGGGAGGAAGCGTCACTTGTGAATGGGGGTCTTTGGGCTCTAGCAGAGTCGCGGATGCGGGTCTCCTGAAAGGACAGCAAGGCAAACACGTGATCTCGAAGGAAACAGCCAACATTTTGATCTCCTTCTTATCTACAGCGCGACAGACTTACGGGTGTGTGAGTGTGTGTGTGTGTGTGTGTGTCAAATCTCGATCTGACGTGTGTCACCTTTAACGGCTTGATTGCTTGTGTCGTCGTCGGAAAGAATCAACGCCAAACGTTCCTGCCCCGCCCTTCCAACTCTGGCTCGACTAGATGACCTCCAGCGTCCCTTCCAGCTCTGCCCTTCTGCGAGTCCGTCAGGGTCTCCGGCTCGAAGAAGCAGGGGGCTGGGCTAGATGACCTCCAGGGTCCCTTCCAGCTCTTCTGATTCTATAAGAGTCGCCTGCTCGAGGAGGGGGACGGACTAGACTAGATGATCTCCCACGTCCCTTTATATTCTTTATTCTGTGATTCCATAAGGGTCTGCTGCTTGAGGAGGGGGTTGGGCTAGATGACCTCCGAGGTCTCTTCCGGCTCTGTCACTCTGTGATTCTGTCAGGGTCTCCAGCTCGAGGAAGGGGTGGGACTGGATGACCTCCAAGGTGCCTTCCTACGCTCCTATTTGGTAAGGGTCTCCTGCTCGAGCAGGGGGGCTGGACTAGATGACCTCCAAGGTCCCTTCCGACTTTGTGCTTCTGCAAGGGTCTCCTGCTTCAGCAGGGGGGCTGGACTAGATGACTTCCCAGACCCCTTCCGACTTTGTGTTTCTGCCAGGGTCTCCGGCGCGAGGAGGGGGCTGGACTAGATGACCTCCCAGAACCCTTCCAACTTTGTGCTTCTGCCAGGGTCTCCGGCGCGAGGAGGGGGCTGGACTAGATGACCTCCCAGACCCCTTCCGACTTTGTGCTTCTACCAGGGTCTCCAGCTTGAGGAAGGGGTGGGACTAGATGACCTCCAAGGTCCCTTCCGACTTTGTGCTTCTGCAAGGGTCTCCTGCTTCAGCAGGGGGGCTGGACTAGATGACCTCCCAGACCCCTTCCAACGTCGTGTTTCTGCCAGGGTCTCCGGCGCCAGGAGGGGGCTGGACTAGATGACCTCCAAGGCCCCTTCCGGCTCTTTCCTAACGGAAGACCCAAGACCTGGTTCTGTCAGTGGCCTCCGGGAAGGGCTAGGAAGACCCCCCCCCCGGCTCACAACACACACACACACACACACACACACACACACAACCCGTTTCAGCAAGAAGAAATTCACTCTCGCAGCCAGTCGGAGGGGCGGGGAGGTGGGTGGAAGAGGCCCCGCCCCCTCCCCTTCCTGCCCCGCCCACCTCTGCCTAGCGAAGGGCGATTCCTCCCCCCCCCCGGCAGAAGCGAAAGCAGCCCGCAGCCCGTCGGGGGAAGCAGCTGAGAGGCAGACGCGACCCCCTCCCCGCCCAGCTGGAGACTCGCTCAGGTTGCTGTCCGACAGGTCGAGCCGGGTAGAAAGTGGGGGGGAGGAGGGAGGGAGGGAGGGGGGGGCCTTCGACAGACGAGCTTGGCACTTAGAAGCACCGCGTGGGAAGGGGCCTCGGAGGCCATCTAGTCCAGCCCTCTGCTCGAGCAGGAGCCCCCCCCCCGCCAGATTCACAGAGTGGGGAAGGGGCCTCGGAGGGCATCTAGTCCAGCCCCCTGCTCAAGCAGGAGCCCCCGCCAGATTCACAGAGTGGGGAAGGGGCCTCAGAGGCCATCTAGTCCAGCCCCTGCTTCACAGAGTGGGGAAGGGACCTCGGAGGCCATCTAGTCCAGCCCTCTGCTCGAGCAGGAGCCCCCCCCGCCAGATTCACAGAGTGGGGAAGGGGCCTCGGAGGGCATCTAGTCCAGCCCCCTGCTCAAGCAGGAGCCCCCGCCAGATTCACAGAGTGGGGAAGGGGCCTCAGAGGCCATCTAGTCCAGCCCCCTGCTCAAGCAGGAGCCCCCCCCGCCAGATTCACAGAGTGGGGAAGGGACCTCGGAGGCCATCTAGTCCAGCCCCCTGCTCGAGCAGGAGCCCCCCTGCCAGATTCACAGAGTGGGGAAGGGACCTCGGAGGGCATCTAGTCCAGCCCCCTGCTTGAGCAGGAGCCCCCCCCGCCAGATTCACAGAGTGGGGAAGGGACCTCGGAGGCCATCTAGTCCAGCCCTCTGCTCGAGCAGGAGCCCCCCCCGCCAGATTCACAGAGTGGGGAAGGGGCCTCGGAGGGCATCTAGTCCAGCCCCCTGCTCAAGCAGGAGCCCCCGCCAGGAGCCCCCCCCGCCAGATTCACAGAGTGGGGAAGGGACCTCGGAGGCCATCTAGTCCAGCCCCCTGCTCGAGCAGGAGCCCCCCTGCCAGATTCACAGAGTGGGGAAGGGACCTCGGAGGGCATCTAGTCCAGCCCCCTGCTTGAGCAGGAGCCCCCCCCGCCAGATTCACAGAGTGGGGAAGGGACCTCGGAGGCCATCTAGTCCAGCCCTCTGCTCGAGCAGGAGCCCCCCCCGCCAGATTCACAGAGTGGGGAAGGGGCCTCGGAGGGCATCTAGTCCAGCCCCCTGCTCAAGCAGGAGCCCCCGCCAGATTCACAGAGTGGGGAAGGGGCCTCAGAGGCCATCTAGTCCAGCCCCCTGCTCAAGCAGGAGCCCCCCCCGCCAGATTCACAGAGTGGGGAAGGGACCTCGGAGGCCATCTAGTCCAGCCCCCTGCTCGAGCAGGAGCCCCCCTGCCAGATTCACAGAGTGGGGAAGGGACCTCGGAGGGCATCTAGTCCAGCCCCCTGCTCGAGCAGGAGCCCCCGCCAGAACCCACAGAGTGGGGAAGGGACCTCGGAGGCCATCTAGTCCAGCCCCCTGCTCGAACAGGAGCCCCCACCAGATTCACCGAGTGGGGAAGGGACCTCGGAGGCCATCTAGTCCAGCCCCCAGCTCAAACAGAAGACCCCCTACCCTTGCTGACACTCTCCCTCTCTCCCTCCCTCCTCCCACCACCTCTCCGGCTCAGCTGCTACCGTCTCAGACAAGTGACTGTCTTGTCTCTTCTTCAAAAAACGTCCAGTGATGGAGCGCCCACGATTTCTGGTGGCAAGCAGTTCCGCCGCTGAATCGTCCTCCCCGTCAGGAACTCTCTCCTTCATTCCAGGTTGCTTCTCTCCTTGGTCAATTTCCCACCGGGCTTTCTTCTCCCGCCCTCCGGTGCTTTGGAGAATCCTTTCGAACTCTGCTCTTCTGTGACTCCGTAAGGGTCTCCCGCTTCGGCAGGGGGTTGGACTAGATGACCTCCAAAGGTCCCTTCCGGCTTTTTTTCTGATTGATTGGTGGAGGCAGGCTGGCACTGAAGCGGGATGCGGCTGAAGGCTGGCGTTTGGGGATCAATTCCCACCTTTCCCGAAGCCCCAAAGCGCGGGGGAGGGGAAAGGAGGGATCGGGATGACTCCGCCTCAAGTCTGTGGGGAGGGGCTGGAGGGATCGCTTTTAATCCCTCTCTCTCCAATCGCTGCCTGTGTCTTCTGGAGGGGGGTGTCCCTGTCCATCTCCGAGCCGGACAAGCCTCAAGTCTGTGGGGAGGGCGTGGAGGGATCGCTTTTAATCCCTCTCTCTCCAATCGCTGCCTGTGTCTTCTGGAGGGAGTGGGGGCCCTGTCCATCTCTGAGCCGGGCAAGCCTCAAGTCTGTGGGGAGGGCGTGGAGGGATCGCTTTTAATCCCTCTCTCTCCAATCTCTGCCTGTGTCTTCTGGAGGGAGGGGGGGCTGTCCATCTCTGAGCCCGGCAAGCCTCAAGTCTGTGGGGAGGGCATGGAGGGATCGCTTTTATTCCCTCTCTCTCCAATCACTGCCTGTGTCTTCTGAAGGGAGTGGGGGGCCTGTCCATCTCCGAACCAGGCAAGCCTCAAGTCTGTGGGGAGGGCGTGGAGGGATCACTTTTAATCCCTCTCTCTCCAATCTCTGCCTATGTCTTCTGAAGGGAGGGTGGGCCCTGTCCATCTCCGAACCGGGCAAGTCTCTCCTTTGGCTGAGTCTGTTTCGCTTTTTTCCTCCAGAAAGATCGTGATTTGTCCTGTGGGAATCTTCTGGAATCTTCTGGAAATGGCTGGAATCACCGAAAGTAACATTTTGGGTCCCTGAGGGTGAGGGGGTGGGGGCGGGAGTGAGTTGCGACTTGCTCTCCTGGGTGGAGGGACAGGCTGTGATGACATGCGTACATGGCTGATCCGGGTCGCCTTTTGTGCCCCCTCTCCCCGTTGCGTTGCAGGGCCCGAACGGAGGATCGTCCTGGTGGGTAAAACCGGGAACGGGAAAAGCGCGACGGGAAACACCATCCTGGGAAGAAAAGACTTCCGTGCGGTGGCGTCGCCGAAGTCCGTCACGAAGTGTTGCGAAAAGAATGAGGCGTCGTGGACCGGCGGTAAGATTGTGGTGGTCGACACGCCGGGCTTTTTCGACACTGAGGTTCCGGCGCACAAAACGGCGAAGGAAGTGAAGAAGTGCGTGAAGATGTGCGCCCCAGGCCCGCACGTCATCGTGCAGGTGATTCGTCCGTGCCGCTTCTCCCAGGAGGAGAAGGACGTGGCTAAGCTGATCAAGGAGATCTTCAAACTCAACGCCAAGCATTACATGATCCTCTTGTTCTCCCGGAAAGAGGACCTGGAAGGGAAAACTCCGGAGCAATTCCTCTCGGAGGATGATTCCTCTCTTCGGGATCAAGTCTCCGAATGCGGGTCCCGGATCCTGGCTTTCAACAACAAGGCCGAAGGGAAAGAACGAGAGACCCAGATGGATCAGCTGATGAGCATGATTGATCAGCTGGTGTTCATGAACCGCGAAGCGCCGTATTACACGGAAGACATGATGAAGAAGGACGAAGAGGAGTATAAGACAAAGAAGAATTTCTTCTGGTGCTCTCTTCTCTAAAAAAAAAAACACCCCAAAGTCTTCCTACTCGATCCTTTGCTCTCGGGGGGCAGCTCTCCCACAGGCCACAGCCCTGCGTTTCCTCCCTTTTGTTCCGTTCGAATCCAGCTCTCGCCGGGAGACCTCCGACGAACCCGAGTCGTGGCGGAATCACCCCGAGCCACTTCCTCCTCCCGAGAAGCCGATTTCTCCCCCCAGGATGACGGACTTTCTTCAATAACCTGCCCCCACACCCGTGTCTGCCGGCTCCACAGCCTCATTCCCTACCAGCTTGGACCCTTTGGAAAGACACTCTCTTTCGTGCTTCCCGTCTCTCAATCCTTCGAGGGAGACCAGGCCAGGAAACCACCAACACAAGAAATATTAGAGCTGGATTTTATTGGGATAAATGACAGCAGCATCTCCCCTTCACTCTCGCTGGCACCAAAGCGCATCAAGGCAGGACAGCCTTGAGGTTCTTTCTCACCCGTTCCTGTTTTCCTGGGGCGAATCCCTGTTTTCCTCCATGTTTTCTTTGGGGCTTCCCCATCTGTCAATCCTTCGAGGCAGACCAGGCCGACAAACCACCGACACAAGAAATAGTAGACTTTGTCGGTACTGATTATAGTAGCAGAATCTTGAAAATATCTCCTGTTTGCTCCCACTGGCACCAAAGAGCATCAAGGAAGGACAGCCTTGAGGTTCTTTCTCCCCCATTCCTGTTTTCCTGGGGCGAATCCCTGTTTTCCTCCATGTTTTCTTTGGGGCTTCCCCATCTGTCAATCCTTCGAGGCAGACCAGGCCGAGAAACCACCGACACAAGAAATAGTAGATTTTGTCGGTACTGATTATAGTAGCAGAATCTTGAAAATGTCTCCCGTTTGCTCCCGCTGGCACCAAAGAGCATCAAGGCAGGACAGCCTTGAGGTTCTTTCTCCCCCGTTCCTGTTTTCCTGGGGCGAATCCCTGTTTTCCTCCATGTTTTCTTTGGGGCTTCCCCATCTGTCAATCTTTCGAGGCAGACCGGGCTGACAAACCACCGACACAAGAAATAGTAGACTTTGTCGGTACCGATTATAGTAGCAGAATCTTGAAAGCGTCTCCCCGTCGCTCCCGCTGGCACCAAAGCACCTCAAGGCCGGGCAGCCTTGGGGTTCTTGCTCACCTGTTCCTGTTTTCCCGGGGTGAATTCACATTTTCCTTATACAGGTGCCGCCCGTTTCCTGAAAGGCCGTCTCTGTACTTTTCCACACCGCCTTCCAATGGTGAATCTGGACTCACGAGGGAAATCCTATCAGTTCTTCTTATGAAAACCTTTTTATTAAATCTCCTCCTCGCTTTGGAAAGAAGCCGTGTGTTTTGAAGGAGGGATTTGGGGGAGAACAGCCTGGTCGGTCACCTCTAGCTTAGCCGGATCCATGCAGCAACCCACTCGCAGAGGGGGAGGGGGGCAGGGAACGAGGGGAATATACTCCAGGGGTGGGTCAGAATGCAGGGTGCTCCACTGATGGGAGAGGGAGGGGGGGTCCCTCCTGCACGGCAAGCAAGCCTTTATTGGTCTAAATGACAGCAGCAGAATCCTGAAAGTGTCTCCCCTTCACTCCCGCTGGCACCAAAGAGCATCAAGGCAGGGCAGCCTTGAGCTTCTTTCTCACCCCTTCCTGTTTTCCCGGGGTAAATTCACGTTTTCCTTAGACAGCTGCCATGGGGGGAGATGGAACGAGGGGAATCTACTCGAGGGGTGGGTAAGAATGCAGGGTGCTCCCCCAAAAGTTTTCCACCTTGGAAGTGTGGGGGGGGGTCCCTCCTGCATGGCAAGTGAGCCTTTATTGGTCGAAATGACAGCAGCAGAATCCTGAAAGTGTCTCCCCTTTGCTCCCGCTGGCACCAAAGAGCATCAAGGCAGGGCAGCCTTCAGCTTCTTTCTCATCCCTTCCTGTTTTCCCGGGGTGAATTCATGTTTTCCTTAGACAGCTGCCATGGGGGGAGATGGAACGAGGAGAATCTACTCGAGGGGTAGGTAAAGAAAAAACCATCTTTGGTGGACCTCTTCCAAAGCGAAAAGATTCTGGCTAAGAAGACATACGTGGTTAGAGAAAATGAAGGAAAAAAAACACACAGAATTTAAGCCAGCATTATTTTTTGTGAGGCATAAATTGTAGGAGAAAGACTGCATTCATTGAATTTCTACATATGTTAACCGCAGCAAGAATTGAATTCGCTCAACGTCGGAAAAAGGAAGATTTTTATGGACGGAGGAAGAGATAGCATTAAAAAAAATGTTAAAAATTGTGCAGAAATGGATAAGCCGACTGAAAATGAAAGAGAAAGAAGACTCAGTTGATTTTAGAGCATTTATCGCTAGCTAGAAAAAAACAAGGTAAAGGAGCTTAATATGTATTAGCAAGTTGGGTGTTGGAACCCTGACAATATGTTGCTGATAAAATATTAAGCACTTGTGATTATAAAACAATTATGTGTGTGTGTGTGTGTATGTATCTACTGTATGTATCTATATATTTATGTATCTATATATCTATATATCTATCTATTATCTTATATCTATATCTATATCTGTCTCTGTAATCTATCTATCTACATATATTCTCTCTCTCTCTCTCTCTCTATCTATCTATCTATCTATCTATCTACATCTCTATATCTATATCTATCTCTCTATCTCTATCTATCCATCTCTATCTATCTATCTATCTATCTATCTATCTATCTATCTACATTATATCTATCGCTATATCTATCTATCCATCTCTATCTATCTATCTATCTATCTATCTATCTATCTATCTATCTATCTACATTATATCTATCGCTATATCTATCTATCCATCTCTATCTATCTATCTATCTATCTATCTATCTATCTATCTATCTATCTATCTATCTATCTATCTATCTACATCTCTATATCTATATCTATCTCTCTATCGCTATATCTATCTATCTATCTATCTATCTATCTATCTATCTATCTATCTCTCTATATCTCTCTATCTCTCTGTCTATTTATCTACATTCCTCTACATCTCTCTCTCTCTCTCCCTCTCTCTCCATCTCTCTCCATCTATCTATCTATCTATCTATCTATCTATCTATCTATCTATCTATCTATCTATCTATCTATCTATCTATCTATCTATCTATCTAGATTATATCTCTATTTATTGCTATATCTATCTATCTATCTATCTATCTATCTATCTATCTATCTATCTATCTATCTATCTATCTATCTATCTACATCTCTCTCTCTCTCTCTCTCCATCATACATGTCTGAAATGGCATTGGGTCTCCTGTTGGAGCAAGGGGCTGGACCAGATGACCTCCAAGCTCCCTTCCAACTCTGGGACGCTGTCAGGGTCTCCTACTGGAGCAGGGGGTTGGGCTAGATGACCTCCAAGACCCCTTCCTGCTCTGTTCCGAGGGCAGAGGAAGCGAGCCTGGCTTTTGCACGGGGGGGGGGGCCGACCCAGCCCGAAGCGGCCCTTGGGCGTTGAATCAACGCGGAAAAGAAAATAGCCCGTTTCCTGGGGATGGCTGGGGGGGGGGGCAGGGGAGGGGCTCGTTCTGGGCCTGTTTTCCTTTCAATCACGTGATTTCCAAGCAGCGCCGCCGCCGCCGAGAGACTTTCGCTTTCCTCCGCTGTTGGGATCTCCCCTTGCAGAGATTGACAGAGTGGGAGGGGTCCTCGGAGATCATCCGGTCCAACCCCCTGCTCAATCAGGAGAGCCTTCCAGAATCACAGAGTTGGAAGGGACCTCGGGGGTCATCTAGTCCAACCCCCTGCTCCAGCGGCAGACCCTCCTACAATCACAGCATCAGGGAGTTGGAAGGGACCTCCGAGGTCATCTAGTCCAACCCCCTGCTCCAGCGGCAAACCCTCCTACAATCACAGAATCAGGGAGTTGGAAGGGACCTCTGAGGTCATCTAGTCCAACCCCCTGCTCCAGCGGCAGACCCTCCTACAATCACAGAATCAGGGAGTTGGAAGGGACCTCGGAGGGTCATCTAGTCTAAGCGCCTGCTGAAGCAGGAGACCCCTAAGAGAAGAGTGGAATCACCGAGTTGGAAGGGACCTCCGAGGTCATCTAGTCCAACCCCCTGCTCCAGCGGCAGACCCTCCTACAATCACAGAATCAGGGAGTTGGAAGGGACCTCGGAGGTCATCTAGTCTGCTGAAGCAGGAGACCCCTAAGAGAAGAGTGGAGTCACCGAGTGGGAAGGGGCCTCCGAGGTCATCTAGCCCAACCCCTTGCTCAAGCAGGAGATCCTAGGGGACTCCGGACAAACGGCTCTTTTCTTGAAAGGCTCGACTTGATCTTCCCAGAGCCCCCCCACCTCTCCCCAGTCTCTCCCCTCCTCTCTGCGACCCTTCCCCGCCTCTCTGCCCCTCCCCATCCCGGGAAAGAAGCCGCATCTGGATAGCGGACGAAAGTGAAAGTCTCTCGGCGCCGGCGCTGCGTGGAAATCACGTGATCGAAAAGAAAAAAGACTCAGCGAAGATTATCTATCTATCTATCTATCTATCTATCTATCTATCTATCTATCTATCTATCTATCTATCTATACTTGACTCCCAGGTATAAACATTTTTAAAAATCAATACAATTATCTTCAGCCCTTACTCTGAGGATGTCAACAGACGTTGTAAAGGAGAGATGGGAAAACCATTGGTGTGAACTGGTATAGGGTCTCCTGCCTGAGCAGGGGGCTGGACTAGATGACCTCCGAGGTCCCTTCCAGCTCTATGATTCCGTCAGGCTCTCCTGCCTGAGCAGGGGTTTGGACTAGATGACCTCAGAGTTCCCTTCCAGCTCTGTCATCCTATGATTCCGTCAGGCTCTCCTGCTCTAGCAGGAGGTTGGACTAGATGACCTCCGAGGTCCCTTCCAGCTCTGTCATTCTATTATTCTGGAAGGGTATCCTGCTTGAGCAGGGGGTTGGACTAGATGACCTCAGAGTTCCCTTCCCGCTCTGTCATCCTATGATTCCGTCAGGCTCTCCTGCCTGAGCAGGACTAGATGACCTCTGAGGTCCCTTCCAACTCGACATTCTATCATGCCGTCAGGTTCTCCTGCTCCAGCAGGAGGTTGGACTAGATGACCTTCGAGGTCCCTTCCAGCTCTGTCATTCTATTATTCTGGAAGGGTATCCTGCTTGAGCAAGGGGTTGGACTAGATGACCTCTGAGGTCCCTTCCAACTCTGTCATTCTATGATGCCATCAGGCTCTCCTGCCTGAGCAGGGGGTTGGACTAGATGACCTCCGAGGTCCCTTCCAACTCTGTCATTCTATGATGCCATCAGGTTCTCCTGCCTGAGCAGGGGGTTGGACTAGATGACCTCCGAGGTCCCTTCCAACTCTGTCATTCTATGATGCCGTCAGGCTCTCCTGCCTGAGCAGGGGGTTGGACTAGATGACCTCCGAGATCCCTTCCAGCTCTATGATTCCGTCAGGCTCTCCTGCCTGAGCAGGGGTTTGGACTAGATGACCTCAGAGGTCCCTTCCAGCTCTGTCATCCTATGATTCCGTCAGGCTCTCCTGCTCTAGCAGGAGGTTGGACTAGATGACCTCCGAGGTCCCTTCCAGCTCTGTCATTCTATTATTCTGGAAGGGTATCCTGCTTGAGCAGGGGGTTGGACTAGATGACCTCAGAGTTCCCTTCCCGCTCTGTCATCCTATGATTCCGTCAGGCTCTCCTGCCTGAGCAGGACTAGATGACCTCTGAGGTCCCTTCCAACTCGACATTCTATCATGCCGTCAGGTTCTCCTGCTCCAGCAGGAGGTTGGACTAGATGACCTTCGAGGTCCCTTCCAGCTCTGTCATTCTATTATTCTGGAAGGGTATCCTGCTTGAGCAAGGGGTTGGACTAGATGACCTCTGAGGTCCCTTCCAACTCTGTCATTCTATGATGCCATCAGGCTCTCCTGCCTGAGCAGGGGGTTGGACTAGATGACCTCCGAGGTCCCTTCCAACTCTGTCATTCTATGATGCCATCAGGTTCTCCTGCCTGAGCAGGGGGTTGGACTAGATGACCTCCGAGGTCCCTTCCAACTCTGTCATTCTATGATGCCGTCAGGCTCTCCTGCCTGAGCAGGGGGTTGGACTAGATGACCTCCGAGGTCCCTTCCAGCTCTGTCATTCTATTATTCTGGAAGGGTATCCTGCTTGAGCAGGGGGTTGGACTAGATGACCTCAGAGTTCCCTTCCCGCTCTGTCATCCTATGATTCCGTCAGGCTCTCCTGCCTGAGCAGGACTAGATGACCTCTGAGGTCCCTTCCAACTCGACATTCTATCATGCCGTCAGGTTCTCCTGCTCCAGCAGGAGGTTGGACTAGATGACCTTCGAGGTCCCTTCCAGCTCTGTCATTCTATTATTCTGGAAGGGTATCCTGCTTGAGCAAGGGGTTGGACTAGATGACCTCCGAGGTCCCTTCCAGCTCTGTCATCCTATGATGCCGTCAGGCTCTCCTGCCTGAGCAGGGGGTTGGACTAGATGACCTCCGAGGTCCCTTCCAACTCTGTCATCCTATGATGCCGTCAGGCTCTCCTGCCTGAGCAGGGGGTTGGACTAGATGACCTCCGAGGTCCCTTCCAACTCTGTCATTCTATGATGCCATCAGGTTCTCCTGCCTGAGCAGGGGGTTGGACTAGATGACCTCCGAGGTCCCTTCCAACTCTGTCATTCTATGATGCCGTCAGGCTCTCCTGCCTGAGCAGGGGGTTGGACTAGATGACCTCCGAGGTCCCTTCCAGCTCTGTCATCCTATGATGCCGTCAGGCTCTCCTGCCTGAGCAGGGGGTTGGACTAGATGACCTCCGAGGTCCCTTCCAACTCTGTCATCCTATGATGCCGTCAGGCTCTCCTGCCTGAGCAGGGGGTTGGACTAGAAGACCTCCAAAGTCCCATCCAGCTCTGTCATTCCACGATTGCGTCAGGCTCTCCTGCTCCAGCAGGAGGTTGGACTAGAAGACCTCCGAGGTCCCTTCCAGCTCTGTCATTCTATTATTCTGGAAGGCTCTCCTGCCTGAGCAGGGGGTTGGGCTAGATGACCTCCCAGGTCCCTTCCAGCTCTACGATTCGGTCAGGCTCGCCTGCCCGAGCAGGGGGTTGGAGTAGAAGATCTCCACGGCCCCTTCCAGCTGGCATTCGGCGAGAGCCCCCTCCCTCTGTGTGTGTGTGTGTGGGGGGGAGAAAATAGGAGGAAGGGAGCGGTTCATTTCCCCTCCGCTTAGGGGGGGGGAACTGGGAGGGCCCGGGCCCAGCCGCCCCCCCCCGCTTCCCCGCTGCTGCCCGTCCCCGTCCTTCCGGTCGGGGAAAAGGCAGCGGGGCGGCTCCGCGGGCGCAGCAGCTGCTGATCGGGCCAGGCGCAGGGAGATCCACAGCCAGACGGGGACCGCGCGCAGGTTTCGCCGCCGCCGCAGCAGCAGCGCAGGTGGGGAGGGGGCTGCGGAGGCTCGAGGGGGGGGTCTCAGCTGGGGAGGGGGAAGAAGGGGAGGGGTCCGCCCAGGGAGAGGCGCTGCCCGGGAGGGGGGCTCCGTGGGGTCTTAAATGGGGAGGGGGAGAAGGGGGGGGTTCCCGGGAGGAGGGAGTGGAAGCATAGGGGGGTCTCAGGTGGGGAGGGGGCGAAGGGGGGGGGTCCGCCCAGGGAGAGGCGCTGCCCGGGAGGGGGGCTCCGTGGGGTCTTAAATGGGGAGGGGGAGAAGGGGGGGGTTCCCGGGAGAAGGGAGAGGAAGCATAGGGGGGTCTCAGGTGGGGAGGGGGCGAAGGGGAGGGGTCCGCCCAGGGAGAGGCGCTGCCCGGGAGGGGGGCTCCGTGGGCGTCTTAAATGGGGAGGGGGAGAAGGGGGGGTCCCCGGGAGGAGGGAGAGGGAGCATAGGGGGGTTCTCAGGTGGGGAGGGGGCGAAGGGGAGGGGTCCGCCCAGGGACAGGCGCTGTCCCGGCGGGGGGAGAGGAAAAACTCAGGGGGGTCTTAGATGGGGAGGGGGCAAAGGGGGGGTCCGCCCAGGGAGAGGCGCTGTCCGGGAGGGGGGCTCAGGGGGGGGCTCAGATGGGAAGGGGGAGAAGGGGAGGGGTCCTCCCCTGAGCGGGAGTTGGGGAGGGGGGCGGGAGGGCCGTCTTGGGGGGGGCGCCAGGGGGCGAGGATCGGGACTAGGACAGCCCCTCCCTGGATCTCCCCGAATCCCGGGGGATCCGCGCAAGAGGGGCGCGCGCTCTTTCCCCCTTCTCGGAGACCCGGAAGTGTGTGTGTGTGTGTGTGTGTGTGTGTGTGTGTGTGTGTGTGTGTTTGTGTGTGTGTGTGTGTGTGTGTGTGTGTGTGTGTGAAAGAGAGAGGGAGAGAGAGAGAGATTCTCGGGGGAGGGGTCCCCTTCCTTCCGGCTCCCCCTTTGCCTCCCCCCCGGCCCCCCTCCCTCGGATCTCCCAGGGTCCCCCAACCCTCCCCAAATCAGGGGGTCCCCGCCGGGCAAGTCGGCGCAAAGAGCCGGGAGTTGCGACCCCCGTCTCCCCCCCCTTTACGGTGGGGCGGAGGGAGGGGGGAGGTGGAAGGGCCCCCTCCCCCGTTTAAGGGGTGGAGCTTTGGGGGGGCTCTCTTGAAAGCGGAGGGAGGGGCACAGCCTGCCCCCTGCTCCCCGCACAGGTCCCACAGGTGTGTGTGTGTGTGTGTGTGTGTGTGTGGACACTAAGAGAAGGAATGGGCCCCTTTTCAATGCTTGGAAAAGCAGGAGGGGAGAGACAGCCCTCCCCCTTTCCTACCCCTCTCCCCGCCCCGGACAGGATGGCGTGCCCCCAACCCCTCCCTCGCCTCAAAATAAAGGGGGTCTCCCCCCCTCTTTCTCTCTCCTTCCCAGTCCAGGCCAAGAGCTTCAGCAGCCAGGAATCAGCTACCAGCCCACAGGACACATCCGGTAGGTGTGGGAAGGGCTCCTGGAAAAGTGGGGGGGGCTGTAGAGGCTTCGGGAAAGGGGGAGACCCTTTGCTTAATGCAGGGAAGAATTGGGGGGGCTGGAAAAGACACCCAGCCCACCCCCCACTCACCCATCCCCATCGTGCTGCAGGCCGTCCCCGTCCCCTAACTGGTCATAATAAGGGGGCGAGCGAGGCTCCGGGGCTCAAGCGTGCCATGCCCCCCCACAAATAAAGGGGGCGCCCCCTTTTTCCTCCTGCTGCTTTCCTCTCCCCGTCAATCTCTCCCTGCCCCCTCCTTTCTTCCCTTCCGGGGTCCCTTCAGAGCATGTCAGTCCCCCCCCCCACCCCGATTAGCGGAGGGGGGCAGCTCCAGAGCAGCCTTGAATGGGGTGGGGGGACCAGGCTGGGCCCGCCGGGGAGGGGGGCTCTGGGTGTCAAGAGCCACGTCTGACACTCCCCCCCCCCCCCCTGTTTCCTTTCCACCCTTCCAGGGAACGATGGAGGAAGAGAACAACCTGGGTAAGCCGGGAGCTGGTGTTCGGAGGGAGCGTTTGGGGGGAACAACAGGGCAGCCACTTGGACAGCGAGCTGATGCCAGTTCGGAGGAAGAGCTGCGGCTGGATTGGTCTCTCCTGATAGCGGAACAGCCAGATTCTGGCTGGCCGGTTGACCCTTCTGGGGAGACCCCCTCCCCACCCGTGAGCACGGCTCCCTCCCTCCCTCCCACCCACCAATGGGCCTCCTTCCACAGTCCTGGCTTCTGACAGTCTGCTTACTGGGAAAAACCCCAGGATCGCTGCGGAAAGGAAGGCCGGCAGTCTCACCAATGGGCTGGGAGGAACTGGCAGGCCAGAGGAGGAAGGGGTGGGGGGGGGTGGCCCTCGAGACCGGTTTGAGCAAACCCCTTGGATCCGCCCCTGGCAGTCGGGAATTCCACATAGAATCCCCCTCCCGGCAGGTTGAATCTCGCTCTGTCGGAAACAAACCAAGTTGGAAGCTGGCTTGCAAGCTTTGGGGGGGGGAGGCAGGAGGGTCAGTCCTGCTTGCTCCGGCCTGCCTCTGCATCCTGCCCCCCCCTCCCAGCCCAGTGGATCCGGCATCCTCCCGCAGCGCTATGCCACCAGGCCTGAGTCTCTTCCGGGTCACTCCGCTCGCTCGGACCCAGTGTTGCTGGTGGGGCCTGGATATAGTGGCCGTACTCGGACTTCCGGTGTGGGGCTGGGGGCTGCTGGGACCCAGGCTGTGTTTCAAACCAGAGGGTAACTTCCTGACTTGTTTTATCGGCGGAGTTTTGCTAAAGTGGGCTTCGTACGTTGTGGGAATCCCGTTTTAGCAACTCTGGGAGATTCACACACACGCACAAAGAAACCTCAGGGCAGGGGTGACTCTTTTCCAGAACTGTCCCCGTTTCCGGCCTGCTCAGTGACGCCCCGACATCTTGGATCACGGCCCCACGTTTCTTCCCCGGGCACGCGTGACATTGTCTCGATTCCTTTGTGTTAACACTGTCTTCCCAACTTTGCAGGGGACGCCGGCGAATTCCGGCTGATCCTGGTGGGAAAAACCGGAGGTGGGAAGAGCGCCACGGGCAACACCCTCCTCGGCCGGCCGGTGTTCAAGTCCATCCTGGCGCCGCAGGGCACCACCCTGAGCTGCCAAAGGGGTCAAGGAAGATGGCAGGGCAGGCAGATTTCCGTGGTCGACACCCCGGCCATTTGTGATTCGGAAATCACGAGCGAGATGGTGCAAAACGAGATCAAGGCTTGCGTCCAACTCTCCCGGCCTGGTCCCCACGCCCTGATCTTTGTGACCCAGGTGGGGCGCTTCACCGCCGAAGATGCGGCTGCTGCAAAGCGGGTCTGGGATATCTTTGGGGCCGAGTCCGCCGGGCACACCATCGTCGTCTTCACCTGCAAGGAGGACTTGGGCGGAGGCTCCCTGCAGGAGTACGTGCAAAAGTCCGACAACCGGAACCTGCGGGGCCTGATCCGGCGGTGCGGGAACCGCTTCTGCGGCTTCAACAACAAGGCCGCGGGAGCCGAGCGGGAGAGGCAGGTCACGGAGCTGATGGAGATGGTGCAGAGTGTCTCAGCGAATGGGAGGAAACACTACGTCATCCGCGAGGTGCCTGTGGGGGGTCAGCATGCTCGGACACCCTTACAGGACCGAAAGGACCGTGAACGGGCGTCGGAGGGGTATTCCAAGAAGACTCGGGTATGGATTGGGTTGGGTGGCATGGTGGTGGTGATTGTGATTGTGATCATTCTGGCGGTCAAGCTGTCGTGAGTCCTTTGCAACGTGTCGGGAGGGAGCGGGAGGGAGCCCGTTGTGGGTGAGTGGCCCTGATTGCAGTGAACGTGCCACACCTGGGGAGGGTGGCGACGCCAGGAGACCCACGGTTCCTTTCGCAGCCCAGCGTCTCCCCGGTTCCTTCTCTGTCTCCAGGCCTTGGGACCCCTTGACTCAGTGGTTCTCAACCCGTGGGCCGGGACCCCATTTGGGGTCGAACGACCATTTCACGGGGGTCGCCCAACAATGCCGTCCGCCATTTTTTCCCCCCTTTTCCTTAGCTGGGCTACTCCCTTTTATTCTATTGGCTTTCGAAGCCAATAGAAGAGACTCTCTTGAATAGAGTCTCATTCTATTGGCTTTCCAAAGCCAATAGGAACAGTCCAGGCGGTCTCTGCCCTGCTGAGCCCGCCAAAAGTCCCGTTCTGCAAACGGGGCTGCACCAGTTGAGTAGTCCTCGACTTACGACCGGTGGAGTAGTCCTTGATTGGGGGTCGTGGCATTAAAAAGGTTGGGAACCACTGCCTTGACTGGTCAGATTGGGGAGCTGGAGAATAGATCCCAGGATTCTGCATTGGGGGGGGGGGGAAAGGCCAGGGGGTGGCACAGATAACGGAGCCAATCCCAGCTCACCCACGTGCTAAAATTGTGGTGCAAAATCTCAACGTGCCTCCGGACACCGTTTGAACGATGGATGATCTGCTGGTGTCAATGCTCAGCAACCCCACAGGGAGATTTTCACCAAGTGTGTGTGTGTGTGTGTGTGTATGTGTGTGTGTGTGTCCCTAGGCCTTCCCGACGTGCGCTCCATCGTCTCCAATTTGGGTCCATCCACTGTTCTGAGGAGAAAAGCTCTTTTTTTTTCTCTACGACGGTCCCACCACTGAAATAAAACAACACACACACACCCGGGGTCTTCTGTGACTGAGGGGGACTAGAATGGGGTCTCCACAATTCGGGGAGGGGGAGGGGGAGGGGAGGGGGGGACGAGAGAAGAGATGATCTCACGTCTCCGGTGCAAAATGGGGAAAAAAAATAAAAAATAAATAGCCGAATGAAAACGGTTGCATTTACAAGAAAATGAAAAACGAACATGCAAATAATCTTTACGCTTTTGACGATCGTTTCCTAAACGTCTGTATTATACAAGAGATATATATATATGCAATGTAAAGTTTGCCGAACAACATCCCGTAGACATGTTTAACACTAATTTCCCGGTAAGGTCTACCCCAGGGGCGTCAAAGTCGCCGCGTCGCGTGATGTGCCGCGATGTACCACGACTTTTTTTCCCCACTGCCTGAGCTGGGGTGAGCCCGGCCTACGCGTGAGGCAACCGGCCCGCGGGCCAGCAGTTTCACACCCCTGATCTGCCCTAACGCTATGCTCTCCTCGGCACTTTGATGAATAAAGGCACTTCCTACGCTGATTGGTCGATGTCGATTGCAATCTTTCGATTCGGGGAGCGCACCCCAAAATTCAGGAGGGGGGCAGGCAGCCTAAAAGGGACTTCGCTTCTGGGATGGGGGCCACGGGGGATCGGGCCTGCGGGGAGTGTCGATGTGTCGATTCAAACCACAAAAGAGAGCCAGGTGCTGCCTCCCACACGGGGCGGGTTCTGACCTCAGAGTGCGAGCGGACAGATCCCGTGAAGGGGAGTCGGTCGTGCGCCCCAAAAGCTGACAGCATCCTCGGTTGTCTAAACTGAGAGGCGGAATCAAAACCGGGCAGAGTTATTCGTACCGCTTTGTAAAGCCTTAGTAAGGGCCACCCCTGGAAGGCTGCATCCAGTTTTGCCCACCGCGTGGCGAAAAAAGGGGGTGAGGCTTTGGAGAAAGGGCAGAGAAGAGCAACTAACTTGATTAAGAGCGTGGACTCTAAACCAGGGTCTCCAAACGTGGCTACTTTAAGACTTATGGATTTCAAATCCCAGAATTCTCCAGCCAGCGTATCTGGACTTTATACTATCAGTGGTATAAACCCCTTATTTGATGAGAGAATGTGATATGTTCACTGCATACCCACCATCCACTCATAAAGTTTATCAAAAAAATGTGATATATTATGTTCACTGCAATACCCACCATCCACTCATAAAATTTCCTATTAAAATGTGATATATGTCCACTGCAATACCATCCATTAATAAAGTTTCCCTATCAAAAATGTGATATATTATGTTCACCGCAATACCCACCATCTACTAATAAAGTTTCCCTATCAAAAATTGCAATATATTACGCTCTCTGCGTACCCACCATCCACTAATAAAATTTCCTATTAAAATGTGATATATGTCCACTGCAATACCATCCACTAATAAAGTTTCCCTATCAAAAATGTGATATATTATGTTCACTGCAATACCCACCATCCACTAATAAAGTTTCCTATGAAAAATCTGATATAGGTCCACTCCGAGACCCTCTGCATCACCCCGTAAAGGGGGGGCACTTCCACCTCCCCCCTCCTCCCCCCTCCCCCCACCCCACCGCAAGGCAAGGGCACCACGGGTGGGGGGGCTAGGATTCAGGTTAGGGTCCCACCCTAGTCTGTCACTCCCTCTCATTTTCCAATTCTGTAAGGATCTCCTACCTGAGCAGAGGGTTAGACTGGATGACCACGAAGGTCCCCTCCACCTCTGTTGTTCGATGAGGCGGGAAGAGTCGCCTGCTCGAGCAGGGGGCTGGACTAGATGACCTCCAAAGTCCCTTCTATTATTCTGTAATTCTATGATTCTCTAAGGGTCTCCTGCTAGAGCAAGGTGTTGGACTAGATGACCTTCAAGATTCCCCAAGACTCTGTCATTCTATGATTCTCTAAGGGTCTCCTGCTTGAGCAGGGGGTTGGACTAGATGACCTCCGAGGTCCCCTACAACTCTGTCATTCTATGCTTCTCTAAAGGTGTCCTGCTTGAGCAGGGGGTTGGACTAGATGACCTCCGAGGCCCCTTCCAGCCCTTGTGATTCTATAAGAGTCGCCTGCTCGAGCAGGGGGCTAGACTAGATGACCTCCGAGGCCCCTTCTATAACTATCATTCTATGATTCTCTAAGGATCCGCTGCTTGAGCAGGGGGCTGGACTAGATGACCTCCAAGGTCCCTTCCATAACTCTGTCATTCTATGATTCTCTAAGGGTCGCCTGCTTGAGCAGGGGGTTGGACTAGATGACCTCCGAGGTCCCCTACGACTCTGTCATTCTATGATTCTGAAAGGGTCTCCTGCTTGAGCAGGGGGCTGGACTAGATGACCTCCAAGGTCCCCTACAATTCTGTCTTTCTATGTTTCTCTAAAGGTGTCCTGCTTGAGCAGGGGGTTGGACTAGATGACCTCAGAGGCCCCTTTCCAGCCCTTGTGATTCTATAGGCGTCGCCTGCTCGAGCAGGGGGGCTAGACTAGATGACCTCCGAGGCCCCTTCTATAACTCTGTCATTCTATGATTCTGAAAGGGTCTCCTGCTCGAGCAAGGGGTTGGACTAGATGACCTTCCAGCTCCCCTCTATAACTCTGTCATTCTACGATTCCGGAAGGGTCGCCTGCTCGGGCAGGGGGCTGGACTAGATGACCTCCGAGGTCCCACCCCAGTCTGCCATTCTCCTCTATTCCTTCCAAATCACTGGGAATCGTGATCAGGGAGAGGAAAGGTTTGATTTCTGGGAGAGAAGAACGGACAGGCTGATGCACGGAGAGGGGGAGGCAGAGACCCCCCCCTTATCTCTGGGGTGGGGGCTATGGGGGCCTTGGGGCTCCTGGGAAGAGCCCTGCCGGGCTGGGGAAGGAATTGGGGGGGGGCTGGGGGGGCTGCTGAGCCTTGCAGGATGGATCCCAGATGGGAAAGATATCCGAGGGACGGACGGTGGAGGCTGGGCAAGGATCGCAAAGGCCACAAAGAACAAAAAAAACGGGGGGGGGGGATTTGAGGTCAGCCAAGAAAGGCCAGCCGGGAAATTCCCCCCCCCCCCAGCCGGGACTTTCCAAAGAAAAAAGCCCGATTTTTCCTTCCACGGAAAACAGAAGTTTCTTTGGCTGGGTCCATTCCAGGCCTCTGCAAACAAAGCCAGCTGGAGGAGGCTCCCGGGACAGCGTAATTTCGGAGGAGAGGGCAAATTCCGGCCTTTGTTCTCGCAAGGTCTGGGAATGATGGGTGCTTTTCAGGGCCACGGACACACACACACACACACACACACACACACACACACACACACACACACACACACACACCGTTTCCCCGGCCAGCTTGACCAGAGGCCAAAGGAATCGGTTGGGTGTTGGAAGTCTTTCAATGCTTCTTTTCCAAGACTGGTTTTCACAGTTTCAACCGGTTTCTTTTCTGATCAGAATGGATTTTTTTTTTCTGCAATGCCCAGAGGCTCTTGGGCTGAGGGGGGCAGTCAGAGGAATGGAGGGAGTGAGTGAGGGAGGGAGAGAGAAATAAAGAAGAAGAGAAGGAAGGAAGGGAGGGAGGGAGGAAAGAGAGGAGAAAACAAAGAAAGAAAGCAAGAAAGAAAGAAGGGAGGGAGGGAGGGAGGGAGAGAGAAATAAAGAAGAGGAGAAGGAAGGAAGGAAGGAAGGGAGGGAGGGAGGAAAGAGAGGAGAAAAGAAAGAAAGAAAGAAAGGAGGGAGGGAGGGAGGGAGGGAGGGAGAAATAAAGAAGAGAAGGAAGGAAGGAAGGGAGGAAAGGGAGGAGAAAAGAAAGAAAGAAAGAAAGAAAGAAAGAAAAAAAGGGGGGAAAGAGGAAGAAAGAAAGAGAAAGAAAGAGAAAGAAAGAAAGAAAGAAAGAAAGAAAGAAAGAAAGAAAAAGAAAGAAAGAGAAAGAAAGGAGGGAGGGAGGGAGGCAGGGAAGGAGAGAGAGAGAAAGAAAGGAAGGAGAAATAAATAAATAAAGAAAGAAAGAAAAAGAAAGGGAGGGAGGGAAGGAGAGAGAAAGAAAGAAAGGAAGAAAAAGAGGGAGGAAGGGAGAGAGAGAAAGAAAAAGAAAGAAAAGAGAAAGATAGAAAGAAAGAAAGAAAGAAAGAAAGAAAGAAAGAAAGAAAGGAGGGAGGGAGGGAGGGAAGGAGAGAAAGAAAGAAAGGAAGGAAAAGAGGGAGGGAGGGAGAAAGAGAGAAAGAGAGAGAGAGAAAGAAAGAAAGAAAGAAAGAAAGAAAGAAAGAAAGAAAGAAAGAAAGAAAGAAAGAAGACAGACGAAAGGAAGAAAGAGAGAAAGGAAGGAAGGAAAAGAGGGAGGGGGAAAGAGAGAGAGAGAAAGAAAGAAAGAGAAAGAAAGAAAGAAAGAAAGAAAGGAGAAAGAAAGGCAGAGAGAGATGAAAGAAAGAGAAAAAGAAAGAAAAAAAAGAAAGAAAGGAAGGAAGGAAAGAAAGAAAGAAAGGGAGGGAGAAAGAAAGAAAGAAAGAAAGAAAGAAAGGAGAAAGAAAGAAAGGCAGACAGAGAGACAAAAGAAAGAGAAAAAGAAAGAAAGAAAAGAAAGAAACAAGGGAGGGAGAAAGAAAGAAAGAAAGAAAGAAAGAAAGAAAGAAAGAAAGAAAGAAAGAAAGAAAGAAAGAAGATGCGGAGGAAGGAAGGAAAGATCCTGGAGGGTCCGGACCTCCCCCCCTCTTCTCCCCCCTGTACCAATCGGGGGGGCTTCCTCCCCCTTCAATATGGAACAGTTGCCTTTCCAGTCTGGCTGCTGGGGGGGGGGCGGTCAGAGCGCTCTGCAAACTGGCTTGCAAGGAGCAGAAGAAGCGAGGCTGGGTTTCTGCGGGGGGGGGGGCGCCACGCAGAGCCCCTCCCCACATTAGAATGATAGGGGGAGAAACAGCCGGAGCCTCTCTTCCCCCCCCCCCCGCACCCGAAAAAAGGTTGGACTAGATGACCTCCGAGGTCCCTTCCAACTCTGCCCTTCTCTGATTCTGTAAGGGTCTCCTGCTGGAGCAGGGGGTTGGACTGGATGATCTCCGAGGTCCTTTCCAACGCTGTCCTTCTGTAGTTCTGTGAGAGTCTCCTGCTGGAGCAGGGGGTTGGACTGGATGACCTCCGAGGTCCCTTCCAACTCTGCTCTGCTCTGATTCTGTAAAGGTCTCCTGCTGGAGCAGGGGATTGGACTAGATGATCTCCGAGGTCCCTTCCAACTCTGTCCTTCTGTAATTCTGTGAGAGTCTCCTGCTGGAGCAGGGGGTTGGATTGGATGACCTCCGAGGTCCCTTCCAACTCTGCTCTGCTCTGATTCTGTAAGGGTCTCCTCCTGGAGCAGGGGGTTGGTATGTTCTACTCATTTCCTCTCCCCCTTCCTCCAGGAAGTCAGGGCCAGTCTCCCCTTGCCTCTCTGCCTTTGCAGTGCATCATGGGACGGAGGCAATTACAATGAGCACACCAACCTCACCAGTTTCCCCGACGGCCCCCTCCCCCTCAAAAAAAAATGAAGACACGCCCTCTGTTGTAAGAACCGAAAAGATTTATTAATAAGATCTCGGATGGAAATTAAAACGGTAAGATTCTCACCCGGAATCCCTCGTTGAGTCCACGTTGGCCACTGGAAGGCAGTGTAGAGCAGTGCCCTCCCTCCCTCGCACCTTTTCGGAAACCAGGGACTGGTTCCGCGGAGGACGGTTTTTCCGTGGAGCGGGTGTATGTGTGATTTCACACGCTGCCTGGACGCCACACACGCACAGAAGGAGCCTCGCTTGCTGGGGCAGCCCTGCTTCCGGTGCACCGCGGCCCGGTGCTGGTCCGCAGCCAGTGAGTTGGGGACCCCTGTTGTACGGCAGCGGCCCCCAACCTTTCGGGCACCATAGAGAGCGGTTTTTCCATGGGCCAGAGAGGAGCATGCTTCCGCATGCTTCTTGCATCCCGCCGACGGAGCTTCGCCTCTGCGTGGATCGTTTTCTGGCATGCCGCGGCCCGGTCCACGGCCTGTGAATTGGTGCTAATCTACGGCCCGTGAATTGGGTGCTGGTCCACGGCCGGAGAATTGGGGACCCCTGGTGTATGTAGAGGACAACAGAGACGGCCTTGCGGAAAATATGCGGCAGCTGTTAGGACGACGTGAATTCCCTTCAGGAAAACAGGAAGGGGTGAGAAAGAACCTCAAGGCTCTCCTGCCTTGATGTTCTTCAGTACCAGCCGGAGCGAACGGGAGACATTTTCCGGATTCTGCTACTATAATCGTTACTGATAAAGTCTAATATTTCTTGTGTCAGTGGTTTCTTGGCCTGGTCTACCTTGAAGGGGTCCCAAAGAAAATATGGGGCACCCAGCGGTGGGATTCAACCAGTTCGCACCACTTCGGCAGAACCGGTAGCCAATGCAAGCCCGGCATGGACTTCTGGAAGGAGCATTGACACAGAGAACCGGTTGTTCCCATATTTGAATCCTACCACTGGTGGCAGCTGTTAGGAAAACATGGATTCACCCCAGGGACACAGGAAAGGGTGAGATAGACCCTCAAGGCTCTCCTGCCTTGATGTTCTTCAGTACCAGCCGGAGCGAACGGGAGACATTTTCAAGATTCTGCTACTATAATCGGTACTGATAAAGTCTAATATTACTTATGTTGGTGGTTTCTCGGCCTGGTCTACCTCGAAGGATTGACAGATGGGGTAGCCCCCCCCCCAATATGTGGCAGCTGTAAGAAAAACTTGGATTCGCCCCAGGAAAACAGGAAAGGGTGAGAAAGAACCTCAAGGCTGTCCTGCCTTGATGCTCTTCGGTGCCAGCCGGAGTGAAGGGGAGACCTTTTCAAGAAGCTGCTACTATAATCGGTACCAATAAAGTCTAATATTTCTGTCACGGTTCCGACAGATGAAACCCTTCAAAGAACCTCGAGGCCTTGTTTATTTTTAAAAAAACCTTTATTTGACTAGCATAGCATCGGCACTAACACAATCGAAGCCCAAAAAACTGAGTTCCCCTCCCCTGAGTACATAGTATCAACTCACAATTCCCTCCACTAACAGTCATAAATCACATTCTCCAATTAGTTTGAAATGCAGGCTTCCCTCCCAGTTCTCCAGCCCGCCAATTCTTATCATCTCTTATTTCAACAACCTTGGTTCTCACACGAGGGTCAGATTTATTAGGTCTAGCTGGACTCTCCTGCACATTCCCCCACCCACCCCTTCCCCAGCATCATCTAACTCTAAAAGAAAGTAGAACAAAATGGCTGCATCTCCTTAACATCCCTAAAATGGCTGCATCTCCCTAACATCCCTAAAATGGCTGCATCTCCCTAACATCCGGCGTTAGCAGTGTTGACAATTTCTTGTGTCAGTGGTTTTTCTGGCCTGCATACACCCCTGGTGTATGCAGAGGGCAACAGAGACGGCCTTGCGGAAAATATGCGGCAGCTGTTAGGACGACGTGAATTCCCCTCAGGAAAACAGAAAAGGGTGAGATAGAACCTCAAGGCTCTCCTGCCTTGATGTTCTTCAGTACCAGCCGGAGCGAAGGGGAGCCGTTTTCAAGATTCTGCTACTATAATCGGTACCGATAAAGTCTAATATTTCTTGTGTCGGTGGTTTCTTGGCCTGGTCTACCTCGAAGGATTGACAGATGGGTAAGCCCCCCCCCCCCCATAAATACGTGGTAGTTGTTAGGAAAACATGGATTCCCCCCAGGGAAACAGGAAAGGGTGAGAAAGAACCTCAAAGCTGTATGCCTTGATGTTCTTCAGTGCCAGCCGGAGCGAAGGGGAGAATTTTCAAGATTCTGCTACTATATTCTGCACCAATCAGGTCTAATATTTCTTGTGTCAGTGGTTTCTCGGCCTAGTCTACCTCGTGCGTTGGGGACCCCTGGTGTACAGCGCCAACCCCCAATCTTTCGGGCACCATTGAGAGCGGTTTTTCCGTGGACCAGAACGGAGCATGCTTCCGCGTGCTTCTTGCATCCCGTTGACGGAGCTTTGCCTCTGCGTGGATCGTTTTCTGGCACGCCGTGGCCCGGTCTACGGCCCGTGAATTGGTGCTAATTACGGCCCGTGAATTTGGTGCTGGTCCACGGCTGGAGAATTGGGGACCCCTGGTGTATGTAAAGGACCACAGAGATGGCCTTGCGGAAAATATCCGGCAGCTGTTAGGACGACGTGAATTCCCCTCAGGAAAACAGGAAGGGCTGAGGAAGAACCTCAAGGCTCTCCTGCCTTGATGTTCTTCAGTGCCAGCCGGAGCGAAGGGGAGACGTTTTCAAGATTCTGCTACTATATTCTGCACCAGTCAGGTCTAATATTTCTTGTGTCGGTGGTTTCTCGGCCTGGTCTACCTCGAAGGATTGGCAGATGGGGAAGTCCCAAAGGGGCATGGGTCCAGGCTGGTTGAGAATTCAGCTGTGGGTCCGGTTGATATCGGGGGAATGGGATTGGAAGAAGAAGTCCTTTCGCCCGAGGGGAGGAACCAGGTTCTCAGGAGAGCGAATTGGATCGGGGAGACTCCATCGCGAATCTCGGGTTCTTCGGTGGTCACCGGAAGACAGAATGGGGGGACAGGAGGCCATGAAGTTTTGCAATTGGCGCCGAGGCTCCGTTGGACTTTCGCGTGCCCGTCAGAAAAAAGGGCACAACCAGGAAAAACGCCCGCCCAGCTGCCGTTTATCTGTTCTCATCATGTCTTGCGTGTAACAAGGAGCATCCCTGTTCGTCTGCACCAGCTCGTCAATCATGGTCATCAGGTTGGCCACCTGAATTTCCCGTTCTGTCCCTTGGGCCTTGTTGTTGAACGCCAGGTAGCGGTACCCACACTGCGACACTTGATCCAGAAGGGAAGCATCTCCCTCGGATAGGAATTCGTCCAGAGATTTATCTTCTAGGTCGTCTTTCCGGGTGAACAGGAGGATCATGTACTTCTTGGCATTGAGTTTGAAGATCTCATTGATCAGCCGAGCCACGTCCTTCTCCTCCTGGGTGAAACGGCCGGGGCGGATCACTTGCAGAATGACGTGCGGGCCCGGGGTGCAAAAGCTCACACACTTGCTCACTTCGGCGGAGATTTCTCGCTGGGGACGTGTCGTGTCGAGGAAGCCGGGCGTATCCACAACCACGATGTTCCTGCCCTGCCGCTGCGCCTCCTCCCGTCGGCAGGTGAAGGTGATGGAGTTGGGCGACATCCCAAACTGAAAGACTTGGCGTCCTAGGATGGTGTTTCCCGTCGCGCTTTTCCCGTTGCCGGTTTTGCCCACCAGGACGATCCTCCGTTCAAAACCTACAACCCAAAGCGGGGGGGGGGGAGGAGAGGAGAGAAGAAGGGGATAGGTCAGCCATGTTGGAGGAGATGAGCGGGCTGGGCCTGCGCGAGAGGTCAAAGGCGTCAGAGGTCACAAATACCTGCGTGCCCGCAAAAGATCTAAATTCAGCCCCCTTTGAATGCCTTTCTTATCTCCAGCTCATTTCCCGTGATCCGTTAGTAGGTCAGATTCTTGTAGCGAACTGAAGCTTGCAATAAATCTTGATACTCATTTGAACAGCTGGAATCTCCTGATTTTCCTGGTACTTGATCTATCTTATCTATCTGTCTGTCTATCCTAATTTATATCTGTCTGTCTGTCTATCTATCTTCTATATCTATCTCTATCATCTAATTTATCTATATCTTTCTTTATCACCTTATTCTATCTATCTATCTATCTATCTATCTATCTATCTATCTATCTATCTCTATCCTAATTTATATGTCTGTGTCTGTCTACCTACTATATCTCTATCATCTAATTTATATCTGTATCTTCTATATCTCTATCATCTAATTTATATCTGTATCTTCTATATCTCTATCACCTAATTTATATCTATCTATATCTATCTATCTATCTATCTATCTATCTATCTATCTATCTATCTATCTATCTATCATTAGTATCTATCTCTAACTTCCACCTAATTTATCTGTGTCTGTCTGTCTGTCTGTGTCTGTCTGTCTGTCTATCTATCTATCTATCTATCTATCTATCTATCTATCTATCATCTATCTATCATTATCTATGTCTATGTGTCATCTATAATTTCTCTCTCTCTTCTATGATTTAGTTATCATCCCTCCATCTATCCATCTCTCGTAGGAGATAACCAGGCTGAGCCAGAGGGAGACGTCAAAGGCGTCATCGGTCGTGAATCCCTGCGCACTTGCAAGGGATCTGAATTCAGCCCCCTTTGAATGCTTGTCTGATCTCCCGCTCATTTCCCTTCGTTCGTTAGTAGGTCAGGTTCTTGTAGCGAAAAACCGAAGCTTGCAATTCATCTTGATCGCTCACTTGAACTGCCCGATTCTCCTGATTTCCCGGGCGCTTGATGAGCAGACGGGCATCGTAGCCTGTCCCTCCACCCAAGACAGCAGCTCCCACTCCCACCCCCCATGCCTCCCCCCCCAGGGGCCAAGACTTTACCTCGGATGCTTCCAGCCATTTCCAGACAACGTCGTACGGCACAAAACACCCGGGAGAAATTTCTGGATAAAAAGAGAAACATCCATCAGCCGAAGGAGAGGCCGTCTCGCTTCGCGATAGCCACCAACTCGCCTCCCCCAGAAGACGCCAGCAGGAATGGGAGGGGGAGGGGCTTAAAAGAAGCCCGCCCCCTTCCTCACCTTTTCCTCCCTTCCCACTCTTGTGGTCCCACCCTTTGCGGGTGACAAAACAATATGGGCCCCGATTCTCAAAAACGACAGGCAACTCCCCGCTCCGTACAGGCAAGTCCTCGGGTTACGACGGCCCACCCCCCAATTGAGACCCCCTAAATTTACGTCGCCATGCTTCCCTTGCCGTCGTTAAGCGAATCACGGCGGTGGTTCAGCGAGCAAGCCGGCCGATGGGGGAATCCCATTTCTCCCTTGACTTTCTGCGTCGGGAGGATGGCAAAAGCGGATCGGCGTGACCACACGTACAAACACAAACACACACACACACACACCAGGAGGCTGCCACCGTCGTCAATACGAATCGCTTGGCAAGGCTCTGAATTTTCGATCCCGTGGGAAAAACTTGCCCAGCTCATTGATTTTCAACGCTTTTTCCACTTTGATCACTAAATGGACAGTTGTAAATTGAGGACTAGCTGTGGCTCCTGAGGTGCTGGCAGCTGGACAGTCTCCAAGGACTGTCCCCATCGGACGGCCGGACGGTCTCGGCCCTGTCTCCCAGCCCCGCCCGTCATCCACTGCCCCACTGGACCTCAAGCCTTAATCGTCCCCGCCCCCTCAGCCTCCAGAAATAGAAATAGAAATAGAAATAATAGAAATAGAAACAGAAATAGAAATAGAAATAGTGGAATCTAGTGTAGTGGAATGGGAATAGGAAATATGGAGTGGAAAGGAATAGGAGAATGGAATGGAATGGAATGGAATGGAATGGAATGGAATGGAATAGAATAGAACAGAATAGAATACAGAATGGAATGGAACGGAATAGAATAGAATACAGAATGGAATAGAATGGAATAGAATAGAATAGAATAGAATAGAATAGAATAGAATAGAATAGAATAGAATAATAAAATGCAGAATAAAATAGAATTAGAATAAAAACACAGACTAGACCAGGGGTAGCCAACCGTGGCTCTTTTATGATTCGTGGACTTCAACTCCCAGAATTCCTGAGCCAGCATGGCTCAGCTTGGAAACTCTCTTTTTCCCCTCAGCATGGCTGGCTCAGGAATTCTGGGAGTTGAAGTCCATGAGTCATAAAAGAGCCAAGGTTGCCTACCCCTGGACTAGACCAGTGTTTCCCAAACTTGACAATTTTAAGGCATGAGGACTTCAACTCCCAGAATTCCACAGCCAGCAACACTGACTGTGGAATTCTGGGAGTTGAAGTCCACATGCCTTAAAATTGTCAAGTTTGGGAAACACTGGACTAGACTATAGACTAAAATAGAATATGGAATATGGAATATGGAATATGGAATAGCATAGAAATATAGAATAGAATAGAAATACAGAATAGAATAGAATGGAATGGAATAGGATGGAATGGAAGATGATGGGAAGGGAAGGGAAGGAGGAAAGTAAAGGAATGGAATGGAAAGGAATACAATACAATACAATGGAATAGAATGGAATGGAATGGAAAGAAAAGGAATGGAATGGAAAGGAATACAATGCAATGGAATGGAATGGAATAGGATGGAATAGAATAGATAATGGGATGGGAAGGGAAGGGAAGGGAAGGAAAGGAATGGGATGAAAAGTACCTTGGAGGTCATCTAGTCCAACCCCCTGCCCAAACAGCACTCCCTACACCATTTCTGACACACGGCAGTCCAGTCTCTTCTGGGGAGGGGGAAGTTCGGGAGGGGGGGGGGAACGGACAGAAGCTCGTCTCCCGGAGGTTTTTTTTTGAGGGGGTGGGGGCGTTAGAAAAGGTTTTCCCGATTGAGGAGGGCAGCTGAAGCCCCCTCGCCCCCCCTACCTCCCTCAAAGCCCCCCCCCACCGCCCTTCGCCCCGCTGGACCCCGAAGTCCTCCAACTAACTTGAAAAGTGCCCCTCCCCTCCCCGTTCTTCCCCCGTTCACTCCCTGACCGGGGAGGGCGGGGGGAGAAGGGGGGGACCCAGGGACCCCCCACACACACACACTCCCCCTGCTCCTCCTGCCTGCTGGAAAGGGGGGGGGACGCGACTGCCCCCCTCCCTCCCTCCTCTCTCCCCGCTTTCTACCCGGCTCGACCTGTCGGACAGCAACCTGAGCAAGTCTCCAGCTGGGCGGGGAGGGGGTCGCGTCTGCCTCTCAGCTGCTTCCCCCGACGAGCTGCCGGCTGCTTTCGCTTCTGCCGGGGGGGGATCGCCCTTCATTAGCCGGAGGTGGGCGGGGCACGACGGGGAGGGGGCGGGGTCTGTTCCCTACGCCCCCCCCTTCCCGCCTGATTGGCTGCGAGTCTGAAACGCGGGGGGGGGGCGCGCGAGGGTCTTCCTAGCCCTTCCGGGAAGCCAGTCACAGAGCCGGCTCTTGGCAAGGGTTCCCTGGAGGTCATCTAGACGTACTGCAACCCCCTCCCCCTACTGGAGTAGGAGAGCCTCACAGAAGAACGGAAGAACAGTTGGAGGGGACCTCGGAGGTCGTCTAGCCGCACCCCCCTCCTGCTTCAGCAGGAGACCCTTAGGGAAATTACATGGCTGGAAGGTACCTCGGAGGTCACAGAGGAACGGAAGAACAGTTGGAAGGGACCTCGGAGGTCGTCTAGCTGGACCCCCCCACCCGCTCCAGCAGGAGACCCTTAGGGAAATTTCATAGCTGGAAGGGACCACGGAGGTCATCTAGTCCCACCCCGGCTCGAGCAGGAGACCCTCACCAAAGAAGAGAGTCAGAAGGGACCTCGGAGGTCATCTAGTCCAGCCCCCCTGCTCCAGCAGGAGACCCTTGGAGGTCATCTAGCCTGACCCCCTGCTCAAGCAAGAGATCTTTAAAAAAGAAGAGAGTAGGAAGGGAGGTCAGAGGTCATCTAGTCCAGCCCCCTGCTCAAGCAGGAGACCCTTAGAGAATTACACAGCTGGAAGGGATCTTGGAGGTCATCTAGTCCAGCCCCCTGCTCGGGCAGGGGACCCTGACAGAATCGTGGAATAAAAAGAGTTGGAAGGTTAGGGGGTTGGACTAAATGACCTCCGAGGCAACTTCCAACTCAGGTCGCTCTCTGATTCTGTCAGGGTCTCCTGCTCGAGAAGGGGGCTGGACTAAATGACCTCCGAGGTCCCTTCCCACCCTTGTTACTCTGAAAAGGTACATCTAAACAGCCCAGAACGTCCCTTCCTACTCTCTTATTTTGCAAGGGTCTCCTGCTGGAGCGTGGGGCTGGACTAGATGACCTCCCAGTCCCTTCCAGCTGTGTCATTCTCTAAGGGTCTCCTGCTCGAGCAGGGGGTTGGACTGGATGACCTCCCAGGTCCCTTCCAGCTGTGTAATTCTCTAAGGGTCTCCTGCTCAATCAGGGGGTTGGACTGGATGACGTCCAGGGTTCCCTTCCCGCTCTGTCACTCCGTGTAAGGGGACATCCGAACAGCGGAGGAAAGCGAAAGTGTCTCGGCGGCGGCGCTGCCTGGAAATCACGTGATCGAAAAGAAGAAAGGCCCAGAGCGGCCCCCTCCCCTTCCCCCCCCCCAACATCCATAGGAAACGGGCTATTTTCTTCTCCGCGTTGATTCATCGCCCAAGGGCCGCTCCGGGCTGGGTCGCCTCCCCCCCCTCCCCCTCGCGCCCCCCCCCGGGCAAAAGCCAGGCTCGCTTCCTCTGCTCTCGGCCGGCCGCTTTGCAGGGCGCCCCTCCCCCTCCACCGCCCCCTCCCAGCAGCCTTTCCATCGGAACAGAACGGGAAGGGTCCCTCGGAGGTCATCCAGCCCAACCCCCCCTGCGCGAGCAAGAGACCCTGCCAGAATCAGAGAGTGACAAGACTTGGAAGGGACCTCGGAGGCCATCTAGTCCAACCCCCTGCGCAGGCAGGAAACCCTTAGAGAATTGCATGGCTGGAAGGGACCTCGGAGGCCATCTAGTCCAACCCCCTGCGCAGGCAGGAAACCCTTAGGGAATTGCCTAGCTGGAAGGGACCTCGGAGGCCATCTAGTCCAACCCCCTGCGCAGGCAGGAAACCCTTAGAGAATTGCACGGCTGGAAGGGACCTCGGAGGTCATCTAATCCAACCCCCTGTGCAGGCAGGAAACCCTTAGGGAATTGCATAGCTGGAAGGGACCTCGGAGGTCATCTAGTCCAACCCCCTGCGCAGGCAGGAAACCCTTAGAGAATTGCACAGCTGGAAGGGACCTCGGAGGTCATCTAGTCCACCCCCCTGCTCGGGCAGGAGACCTTTACAGAATCGTGGAATGACAGAGCTGGAAGGGACCTTGGAGGTCATCTAGTCCAACCCACCGCTCGAGCAGGGGACCCTGACAGAATCAGAGAGTGACAAGAGTTGCATGGGACCTCAGAGGTCATTTAGTCCAGCCCCCCTTCTCGAGCAGGAGACCCTGACAGAATCGGAGAGCGACAAGAGTTGGACGAGGCCGCGGGGATCCCTCCAGCTCTGTGATTCTACTATTTTCTAAGGGTCTCCTGCTCGAGCAGGGGGTTGGACTAGAAGATCTCCCAGGTCCCTTCCAGCTCAGTCATTCTGTGATTCTGTTAGGGTCTCCTCCGTGAGGGGTGGCGGGGATGGAAGGGTTGGACTAGATGACCTCCCAGGTCCCTTCCAGCATTGTCCTTCTGTGACTCTCTAAGGGTCTCCTGCTCGAGCAGGGGGTTGGACTGGATGACCTCCGAGGTCCCCTCCCACACGTTACTCTGAAAGGCTACATCTAAACAGCGGAGGAAAGCGAAAGTCTCTCGGCGGCGGCGCTGCCTGGAAATCACGTGATCGAAAAGAAAAAAGACCCAGAATGACCCCCTCCCTCTTCCCAGCATCCTTTCAAACGGAACACAGCCGGAAGGGACCTCGGAGGCCATTTAGTCCAACCCCCTGCGCAGGCAGGAAACCCTTAGAGAATTGCCTGGCTGGAAGGGACCTCGGAGGCCATCTAGTCCAACCCTCTGCTCAGGAAGGAGACCCTGACGGAATCGTGGAAGGACAGAGCTGGAAGGGACCTCGGAGGTCATCTAGCCCAACTCCCTGCTCAGGCGGGAGACCCTGACGGAATCGTGGAAGGACAGAGTTGGAAGGGACCTCGGAGGTCATCTAGTCCAACCCCCTGCTCGAGCAGGAGACCTTTACAGAATAAGAGTGTTGGAAGGGGCCTCGGAGGTCATCTAGTCCAGCCCCTTCTCTCCTTGCTCAGTTTCCATCCGTTGTTTCTGGTCGAGAAGGAGACCGTTACCCAAATCACAAGAGTTGTAGGGCACCCCGGAGGTCATCTAGTCCAACCCGCCGCTCGAGCAGGAGACCCTTACGGAAGCACAAGAGCGGGAAGGGAGTCCCCCGGAGGTCATCTAGTCCAACCCATTGCTCAGGCAGGAGACCCTGTGGCTATCCTCCTTGAAAGCCTCTGCTTGCTCTCCCCAGAGCCCCCCCCTCAGAGCCCCCCCCTCAGTCTCTTCCCTGGGAGGGGTCCGTCCCATCTGCAACCCTTCCACACCTCTCTCCCCCCCCCCAATAACTGGTTGCAGGCCCCTCCCCCCTCCCAGCGAGCAAGGCGCAGCCTCTAAAGACGGAACGAAAGTGAAAGTCTCTCGGCGGCAGCGCCGCCTGGAAATCACGTGATCGAAAGGAATATGACCCCAAACGACCCCCCTCCCGCCCCCGCCTCCCCCCCCCGCCGTAAACAGGTGGGCTCCTCAACGCAACACAACACTGGGCTATTTTTCGCCCTGTCTGTTCATCGCCTCTCCCCCCCCCCGTCTCCCCTCCCTCCCCCCCCCGCAAAAGCCAGCCTCGCTTCCTTTCAATCGGAACAGAGCTGGAAGGGTCCTCGGAGGTCATCTAGCCCGACCCCTTGCTCGAGCAGGAGACCCTACAGAATTACAGAAGGAGAGATTTGCAAGGGACCTCAGAGGTCATCTAGTCCAGCCCCCAAGCTCGAGCAGGAGACCCTACAGAATTACAGAAGGAGAGATTTGCAAGGGACCTCGGAGGTCATCTAGTCCAGCCCCCAGCTCAAGCCGGGGATCTTTAAAGAATAAGAATTTGAAGGCATCTCAGAGGTCATCTAGCCCAGCCCCTTCCTCGAGCAGGAAACCCTTTCAGAATTGCAGAAGGAGAGAGTTGGAAGGGACCTCAGAGGTCATCTAGCCCAGCCCCCTGCTCAAGCAGGAGGACCCTACAGAATTGCAGAAGGAGAGAGTCGGAAGGGACCTCGGAGGTCATCTAGTCCAGCCCCCTGCTCAAGCTGCAGACTCTACAGAATTACAGAATGAGAGAGTTGGAAGGGACCTCGGAGGCCATCCAGTCCAGCCCCCAGCTCGAGCAGGAGAGCTTTACAGAATAAGAGAGCTGGAAGGGACCCCGGAGGCCATCTAGCCCAGCCCCCAGCTCGAGCAGGAGACCCTACAGAATTACAGAAGAGAGTTTGAAGGGACTTCGGAGGTCATCTAGCCCGACCCCCAGCTCCAGCAGGAGACCTTTACAGAATAAGAGAGCTGGAAGGGACCTCGGAGGTGTTCTAGTCCAGCCCCCTGCTCAAGCAGGAGACCCTACAGAATTACAGAAGAAGAGAGTGGGAAGGGACCTCGGAGGTCATCTAGCCCAGCCTCCTGCTCAAGCAGAACACCCTACAGAATTACAGAATAAGAGAGTTTGAAGGGACCTCGGAGGTCATCTAGCCCGACCCCCAGCTCGAGCAGTAGACCCTACAGAATAAGAGAGTTGAAAGGGACCCCGGAGGTCTTCTAGTCCAGCCCCCTGCTCAAGCAGGACACCTGGTGCCATTTCAGACAACTAGCTGTCCAGTCTCTTGTGATGGAGCACCTACCCACCGCTTCTAGTGGCAAGTAGTTCCACTGGTTGATCGTCCTCACTGTCAGGAAGTTTCTCCTTCATTCCAGGTTGCTTCTCTCTTTGATCAAGTTTCCAACCGTTGTTTCTCGTCCTGCCTTCTGCGGCTTTGGAGAAATGGTAGACCCCCCCCCTTTCTCTATGAAAGCCCCTTAGATCGGGTGTGTGTGTTTGTGTGTTTGAACCTGGCTCTTTTATGACTTGTGGACTTCCAACTCCTAGAGTTTCTCAGCCAGACAGGCTGGCTGAGGAATTCTGGGCGTTGAAATCCACAAGTCATAAATGGGCCAAGTTTGAAGACCCCGGCCTTAGAGATTAGTTTCATTGCAGACATTTCGTGACCCAACTAGGGAACGTCATCAGTGCTACAAGAGAATGAGGTTTGTGGAGTGGAGGAGGAGGAGGAGGAGGAAGGACTGGGGGCCAGGAGGATGACATCCCTCCCATCAATCACTTGTTCAGATTTCCCGTGGTTTATGAGTCCTGCTCAATCAGTTGATTGATGGCTACTAAATACCCCACTCAAAGGGATTCTGTTGTTTTTCGAGTGACGCTGCCCTCTGGTCAAGCATGTTTTACAAGAGGGGGGGCATGTTGGAGAAAGAGGAGAGATAGATAGATTAGAATGAAAGGAAAGAAAGAAAAAGAAAGAAGGAAGGAAATAGATAGATAGACAGACAGACAGACAGAAATGATATATTAGAAAGAAAGGAAAAAAGAAAAAGGAAAGGAAGGAAGGAAAGAAATAGATAGATAGATAGATAGATAGACAGACAGACAGAAATGATATATTAGAAAGAAAGGAAAAGAAAAAGGAAAGGAAAGGAAGGAAGGAAGGAAGGAAGGAAATAGATAGATAGATAGATAGACAGACAGACAGACAGACAGACAGATAGACAGGAATGATATATTAGAAAGAAAGGAAAAAAGAAAAAGGAAAGGAAAGGAAGGAAGGAAACTAGATAGAAATGATAGATTAGAAAGAAAAAAGAAAAGAAAGAGAAAAAGAAAGAAAAAAGAAAGGAAGGATGGAAGGAAGGAAACAAACAAGATAGATAGATAGATATGATAGATTAGAAAGAAAGAAAAGAAAGAAAAGAAAGAAAGGAACGAAGAAGAGGAAAGGAAGAAAGAAAGGAAACTAGATAGATAAAAATGATAGATTAGAAAGAAGAAAGAAAAAAAGAAAAAGAAAGGAAAGAAAAACAAGAAAGAAAGAAAGAAAGAAAGAAAGAAAGAAAGAAAGAAAGAAAGAAAAAGAGGGGTTGGTTGGTAGATGAAAATGATAAATGGCTCAGGAATTCTGGGAGTAAACGTCCACGAGTCATAAAAGAGCCAAGGTTGCGGTCAATTTAGCCATCTCTGCTCATTGCGTCAATCTTTGTAGCCATTCGTTTACGGTTGGAATCAAAACGTCCTTCCAGCAATCTGGCTGCCGTCCGTCGCCGTATGTAAAATCAAGTTCCGCTTTTCTTTTCTTCCCCCCCCCCCCGTGTCTTTTTTCCCGTTAGATCCAGAAGGAAAATTTCTGGTTTTAACCTTTATCTTTGCCTTTAAGACTTTTCCGCATTAATGCACGGAAATCTTTGCTTCGTCCCAGGTCCCCCGTAAGTGATAAAAATAATATCCCTTCTTCCCCTTGACGTTTCCAACGTTCGTTCGAGATACCTTGATCCCTTCTTGATCAGAGATCCCCAATTTTTCTAGGCGAGCGGCCCGGAGGGGAAGCGGCAGGCATAGGGCCACGTGCGGGGGCATGACGCTGGGGGCGGGGCTAGTGGCCTTGCGACGGGGCTGTGGCTACCGCCCGCATGATGCTCGAGTCGGCACGAGCACCCGTGCAATGCTGGAGGTGGGGCTCGTGCCCACACAACACTCAAGCTGGCACTCACATGAGTGTGTGTGGGGGGGGTACGCGTGCACACATGCGCGCACCGGCCAGCCTATCCCATGGCCCACAGGTTGAGGACCCCTGTTCTAGATAACTTATCTAGATAATTTAACTTATCAATATGTATGTAAGCCAATGGCAGACGGGACCCTCTGATTCTAATCCGTCCTTAAGACTTGAGGGTGGGGGTCACCGACATGAAAAGGTAACATTTTACCGTACACGCATGTACCCGGATCGACGTGCGTCCCCTTCCCACCGTCCCTGAAGAGAAAGAAACTCGACCGCCCAAAAAAACAACATAGCTCAACGTTTACTTTTGTTTTTTCTTTAAAAAAGAAGGCTTCTTAAAAGAAAATTTTCTTTTCGCTGGACCTGGTGGGATACAATAGGGCCACCCTCCGTTCTCCTCGACCATCTCCCGGACCTTCTCCATCAGCGCCGTGACCTGCTCCTCCCACTCGGCTCCCACCGCCTTGTTGTTAAACCCACAAAAGCGATTGCCGCACTTCTTCATCAGCTTACACAGTTTCGGGTTGTCGGATGTGTTGACGTACTCCTGCAGGGAGTCCCCACCCAGGTCTTCCTTGCAGGTGAAGAGGACGACCATGTGACGGACGGACTCTTCCCCAAAGATCTTCCGGACCCGCTTTGCGGCGGCCGTGTCTTCCTTGGTGAAGCGCCCCACCTGGGTCACCAAAACGAAGGCATGGAGGCCCGACTGGCACATCCGGAGGCATTTTTCCTTCTCCTCCTCCAGGGAGGGATCCATCTTTTCGGAATCGAAGAAGGCCGGCGTGTCGATCACGGAGATCTTCTTGTTGTTCCAGGTTCCCTGCACCCTTCGGCACTTTTGGGTGGTG